ATTTGCTTGTGTTATTTTACAGTATACCACTATTTGACATGATCGAATTGACATTTAAAGTGAGAAGTATGAAAAAAGTATTTCAAAGTACATAGCTATGGATGTCTAGGTGACTGATAGTTTGACCACACAGCTCATTAGTAAGGTAATGCCACCCGCAAAACTGCTCAAACTTAGCAAATCTCTGTGCTGAAGTTAGGTGGTAGAAATCTGTTTATTTTACCTTGCATAATTCTAATTATTTTATTATTTTATTTACCAATATACACATAAATTATACATTGATTTGCCAATGAACTTGCCGGCCTGTTTAAACTCTCAGCTACTAAAAGTGTCATCTTACTTCAAAAATATATATATTTATTCGAATTACTCTTATTGTTTTTGTTCTAATCAATTAAAGATGTCCTCAAATTGTATTATTCTTAATTGCACACTTTTAAAAACATTTAATCCTATCGCTTTTCGCATTTCTCCCGTAAATTCAACAAAAAATATCATATTTAATTGCAAAGAAAAACGAAGTGTATAAACATAAATCAAATTATTGTCTCTAAATTAGCACAGTTTGTGCTATTGGTGGTTATTTCTTTTACATAAATCGAGTTTATTAGTACCAGAATTCTATTCTGTGTCAAATCATTGTTTGAGAAAGAGTGAATAATATAACTGTTTTATAATTTCAATGTCTCTTTAGCTATTCTCTTAGGTTCCAAGTGAAAAATAGGACTTCAATGCCATTTCTTCATTTCATTCGGTTATCTGCACTGTTTCTGAGTTGGCTTGCCGACTCCCCATAAGATACTGTTCCCCCCATATGATCTCCTCCGTATCACCCTTGAACGACGATCTTCTCATTTCTCATCTAGGTTCCACCAAAAGGTCTGCACTACATGTTATGTCACTTGATAGTCTGCTTAGCGTATCTCCAGTTCATCTTCATTTCCTTCTTCATATTTGTTGGGCATTGGATTTTAGGCCGGTTCATTGTCTATCCATCCGTCTAATAATCAGTAAACAGCCAGCAAAGGAGGCTGTTGTATATTAAAACTCTTCAGCAAGCTGTTTGAAATGTTTTTGGTGACGTACTGGTCAAGTCTGTGATCCGCAGAGAAGCATTAGTCTGCCATCAATATTAAAAATTTAAAAGAGTGAATGAAGGATGAATCGAAAAAGGTAATCTCAAGTATAACATAAGTTACAAAACAGACCTATTTATTCATACGCAAAAAGAAAACACACTATCGTTTGCAAAAAAAATATCGCTTCTCAATGACTTCATTTTTAAATTGCACTGTCGTCTTTATATTACAGACTTTAAGTGACACTAAAATTTACTCAGTCATTATGCATATGGTTATAAGAATAAGGATAACTTGATTTGTTGGAGGATTTCAGAATGAGCTGACATCATTTAGAGAACCAATAGAAAACCTGGGAGCACTGAAGAACTGTTTCGCCCTAGTTTGGGACTCTTCAGCGTGATTTATAAGGGAGGACAAAACCAAGTAGTGCTCAGCCGAGCGCTTTTTGAAAAAAAACACGCCTAAAATGTCAAATGTAACCAGCTTCACAGGAGTAATGTGAAAGAATAGATGCACTTAGAGGTGGGCATATGCGACAGTTTATCCTTCACACATTTTCAAATTAAACTATGGCCAAGGAATACCTGCTGTAAGTCAACACCACAAAATGAGAGTCTAATACGCGTAGATAGACGAGCTTTAATCACTTCGGCAACAGTATTTCATGTGAATGTCAAACTCATAAGCAAAGTCTTTGCTGGTACTATAATTTGCTAGTAGCGATTTTCTCCTCATATTTCTTTCAATATACCTTCTGGGATTTGCATTATTTAAGGGTGTTGCACGAAAGATTTCCACTTCTGCACCGAGAGCAACTTTCATAACATAAATCAATTACCAGATTTAAAGGAGTTAATCCTTTTGATAAATATGAACAGCGCTGCTAAAAGACAAAGTTTATCTCAGAATAGTGTTATAGACTTGTGCAATGTATCTCAAACAATCCAAACACATATCATCTTATCAATTCAGTCACTATGAAATTTTCAAGTATTGATTTTGTAGGGATTTAGTTTGATTGGATGGAGGATTTCATCATAAGCTGAAATCAGTTAGAGAACCACTGGAAAACCTGGGAGTTCTGAACAGCTGTTTTGTCCTGGTTTAAGACGCTGTGTCGTGAATCGACAGAAGTTAGAATTCATGGGCCATTGGATCGGGTCCCAGTGGCCCAATGGTCTACAAGCTAGCTCGCCCTGTAACCAGAAAGTCCTGGATTCGAACCTTGTTAGTGGGTGCGTACTGATGAGGAGTCCCAAACTAGGCTGCGAAACAACTGTCCAGTACTCCCAGGTTCTCCTGTGGTTCTCTAACTGATATCAGCTCATGATGAAATCCTCCTTCCAATATGAAACTGGAAAATATGGAAGACCAAATAAAAAGTAAATAATAAAGGCATTCAAGCGTGAGCAGCATAATAGCTTAAGCTACTCCAGGTTACATATGTAGATAAGAATCGCTAGGGGGAGTGCATTCAGTTTACCAATATATTACCCTAGTACATACAAGGAAGAGGACATTATCTTAAATATGGATAATTACCTCAGCATACTTTGGTATACTTCTCTCAAACTTTCAATGTATGATCTTAAAACCAGTTATAATGTCGACTTCATTATGCATCTCAATAATGTGCTGTGTTACGGGAGAGAATAGAAGTCTGCCACCTGTGATTACCAATGTTTTTGAAGGTCAACTACTTTTTGTAAGCTCTCTGGATTTTAAACAGAATCGCCTCGTGTAAGTCTCAGAGTCAACTAATTTCAATTTGTTTGCCAAATATGAAGGATTCACAGTTAAAACTAGTAATACACTGGTAATGAAAACCATTGAACATAAGCTGGACAGAATAATCGATTTCCAAGTATAGACTACAGAGTTATTTTTAACTCTGATTAATATGAATATTAATGACTAACCTTAGATATTTATCTTTCAGTTAATTACAGAAATGCCAATATAATAATAATAATAAAATATCGACACTAATTAACTCTCTGCATAACTGACTTACTGACTTCTGCAGAAAACATAATTTTGTCTACATTTATGCAGGTGAATTTGTGAGGGCAAAAGCGTCTTACTAGAAGGCTGAATCACATGAATTTTTAATTAACTACCTAAGATACTGATGTGCTGTTAAACTAAATTAGGTTTTTATTTGTATTTAATTATAGTTCACTGATGAAAATTTCCCCAGTCGCACACACGTAGTTCAGGTTTGATCCTCACTCGACGTATCTCTAAGCTCCCCTGTCTTATTAGCTGATATTAAATCCGTAAAGAGTTGAGGGTGGGACTAGAAACAACATCGCTGCTACTGAAACTTCAAAGCATAAAATCCCATGTTCCACTGGAGAACGCTTAGGAAAGGAAACTAAGTAATATGAAAATAAAGACAAAGGAAGTCAGCTAGCGATTTATTGGTCTTAAAAATGCAACTGGTTTTACAACACTTTTCTCGTGTTCACATCCTTCTCCAACAAGTTGTTTGTCTCATTTAGCCTTGTTTCATGAGCAGTTACTTCACCGTTCATTGGTAACGAATGTCCTACACATAAATACAGGTCTTCAGTGACCCAATATTCGGATGCTCTTTCCAGATTACTATATACAGAGAGTCTGATGAAATGCTTAATATCTTACTGAAACTTGCTTATAAATATCCCATGAATGGTGAGCTTATGGGCTTTGAAACTATGTGGTATCACTGTAATGATAATAGAACAGAACAGTGTTTTGTGATGTGTACCAGAAATAAAGACTTTCATGCAGAAGCTCACCGGACTTTGGAATGGAGGTGTGACGGTCCTCAACTATGCTGGAAAAAGTATTCGTTTTTTGTGGTTCCCTATAATTTAGGCATGTGTTGTTTTCTGTTTTCTTTTCACTTCTTTTAGCTGACTGAAGTTTTTAGAGGTTTCTTAAAACTCTCCGCTCACCCTAGATTGCCTCAGTTCTACTCAAAGGAAGTTCAACAGTTTCATAATTTGTATACCTTACAAATATGGTAATTTGCTAAGAAGGAGGATGGGGATTATTTGAACCAAAGGATTAAGTTTTTTCTGTAGTGATACATAAGTAGAAGATACTCAGTTAAACTTTAAAGATAATTAACTACATAGAAGAATGTTTGCGGTGGAATTTCCTTTCAATTCACTCTAGTGATTATGACTATCATAATAATAATAGCAATAATATACATATGTTATCATGAGAAAAAATTGTACAGTAACAAAGGCCTAGTAATAAGCGTCTATCTAACTGGCGAAATTTAATTGGTCGGCAGTCATATTAATGACAGGTCGTCGGTATTCATACAATTTGAATTCTGTATGATAGAATGTAGAGCTAGTCTGTAATCACAAATTGTGCCTCACGCTTTAAGAAAACCAACAGTCAGTAGCGTGTTCGCTTTTATTCAAAACGTATCTGTAGTGTTTGCTAAAGTCATCGATCTGATAGTTCGCTCGTATTAAGCTCTGCTTTAGTTATCCAGGTGATTAGTGATTTTATGCGCCAATGGATGTCTTCTGATCAATTTCTCCGTCTTGTTACTGGTGTTTAGCTAAGACGCATTTGTCGATATGTCCACAAGCGAAGTCTTCCCTAGTTTGATAGTAGTGTTTAAGTGGATTCAGGGTAACTGGTTGTAGTCACGTGTCTATGTATTACTGCAACCTTTAATGTCAAGTACTACTAATTCTTGTCGTGTCACAACAAAACATGCATTCCAACCTTTGTGCTCTGATCAATAAATCACAAACATAAATAGAATAGCGTTTCACTTTACTACACTCTATTGCATACTATGATGACATCGTAAATATTTCTCGTTATCTGTAAATAACCGTTTACAATGTGACTGGTGAGAGTAATTTCTGCATTTTGTTTTGCAATATTTTTGATTTCTAGAAATAAAAATCGTCTGCTTTATGGAAATCGAGTAAACTTAACACCTGAAATTGACAGTTTCGCAACAAACACCTCAGAAATAGGTACAATGATACATTCATACCGTTTACCAATGTTTCCGACATTATTCTCTAAATCTGAGAATACACATGATCAGCATACATCGCGAATAAATAAAACTAGTGAAGATGATGATACAGATTCAAATAATTCACAGAATACACTAGCATCAGTTGTACATTCACCGGACAGTTCAGTTAAACACAAAGATAAAAAGTTATTCAATGATCAATTCTCAATACAAAATGTAACCTCCTCTACAACTACAATTAAAAATCATTGTGCACCAGATCATAAAAAATGTCTTGATTCAAAGAAAATTCATTATGATGAAGATTTAAATATGAATGGATTAAATACTTCAAAGGACTATACACACATGAAAAAGTGGATGGAGACAAGAGGGATGGAAACGCCATCAATGAATAATAAACAGAATAGTTGGAAATCAGACAGTAGTGAAATCAGTGATCTTTCAAATCGTGCTAGACATATTGACAGATTATTTGGAGAACTATCACGAAAAATGGTAAGTCATGGTAGTTTCCCTTTAAAAGGCTTTTAGCTTTCATTATTTTTAAATCATTCACAGAATTGTCTAAAATAAGAATACTACTTTTTGCTTACAACATTTAAACGCCATAGTAGTACCCAGGTCTCATCATCAGTACTGATGGACATTTCCTAACCATTTTATCATTTACTCATTTAGTGGTGGAATCTAAGTCGTCAAGTGAATGTATCTGCTTCTCAGTAAGTCGTAGTGTTTCCAGAATTATGAACAGATAATTCCTTAACTTATAGTTATTACCTCTCAAAAAATGCCAATTTACAACTTGAGTAACTAAGACTCAACATGGTGATCCCACAGAATAAAGTTGTCCTCTAGTGAACGAACTGAATCCAATGATGATGAGTGGTTGACCGTTAAGAATTATCGGTTTGATGTTTCTGATTTCTTGACAAAACGTTTTTTTCACTAGCATTTTCAATATGATGTGTTACTGAGAACTATGATTAATTTAATTAAGTCGAGACAAATGTTTTGCTCACATGAAACTTCAGATGGTGAAGGATATTCATGGCCCAACTGGCAATTTATTCTCTTATCCTTCTAAGACCTAACGGGTTTCTTATAAAGGTTCGCATTGTCATCACAAACCTTTCCCAAATAGACTTTTTACTCTTATCTGTCTCACTTTCTGTCCCTACAAAAAAGTAGGAATTGTCTAGGAATAAAAGTGCGTCATTGTAAAATCCAAGCTTGAGTAATTATTTGTTTGTAGATTAGTTCACATTCTACATTAGTTGGTTATTGGTTAAAGGATTTTCATCATGAGCTGACATTAGTTAGAGAACCATTGGAAAACCTGGGAGTACTGGACAGCTGTTTCGTCCTAGTTTGGGGCTCTTCATCATTACGCACCCACCGGAATTCGAACCCAGGACCTTCTGGTTACAAGGCGAGCTCGTATACCATAAAGCCACTGGGACCCGATCCAATGGCCCATGAATTCTAGCTTCTGCCAATTCACGACATAGCGCGACCCCTAGCCAATGTCTTAGGCAAGTATTTGTCCTCACACCTGACCTGCTGCACCCTACTGGTTACGACTTCCCACTAGAACCCCAGGTAACTACCTATCTTGAAAGGGCCAGTCACCGGTGAGCATCTCATTGATATTCGAGTATTGGTTTGGCTTGCACTTGTGCTATATCGTGAATTAGCAGAAGTTAGAACTCATAGGCCATTAGATCCGGTCACAGTTGCTCAATGGTCTACGAGCTAGCTCACCTTGTAACCAGAAGGTCCGTTGCGTGCATACTGATGAAGAGTCCAAAACTGGGACGAAACAGCTGTCCAGTACTACTAGGTTTTCCAGTGGTTCTCTAACCAATGTCAGCTCATGATGAAATCCTGTAACTAATCAACAAAATCCCTACAAACCAATACTTGGTTGGCTATGTTGAATCCAAATGTTTTGTCTTTAGTGAAATTTTGGTCTCTATGACCGAAGCGTCAGTGATGTTCGTGAAAAAATATGCTGTTTTGGTTGAGTGTGCTAGTTTTTGCATGCGCCTGGCAGGTTTCGCTTCGGAATTCAAACAATAGGTGCAGGGTTTGAGCTTTAATCCGAATAATATCACTCACTGGGAATGCAAGTTAATTCGGCTGCGGAGTCCCGAATAGAACGCAATGTACATCCTAGACTCCATTTCTAGCCACCATCAGCCAAAATTATCTCAAATCATATTACACGAAACTTCTATATGGATTAAACTACATTCGAAGTGAATGTAACTAATAATGTTGTTAGTAAAATACAGTGTAAATGGCTACCTGTAATGATCTAAAATGCTTATTAACAAAAAGTTGCTAATCTTCTGGAAAACAGATTTGCTTTCCGTTATGATCTTCCGCTGACATACCTTTAAAGGTGTGCTTCAGACTCTTTCTCGACTGAAGATTTCTTTTTTAGCTAAAAAAATAATCACCACAGATATGCCATAGGAACTGATCATGGTATTACAAAATAAAGTGTAGTTTCATTCCGATTTTGGGTTTTTTGGATTTTATCGCACACTGACACCAGTTTGGGAATCAGGGAATACCAAGAAGCAGTGGACAGCTGTTTTCCCCTAGTCTGAGACTCTGTAACGCTATTTAGATACAGTCGCACTACAGATTGAACCTAATATTTTCACATTACTTCACAAGACCATTGAATGCATAGCAGCTGGGAGAGTTTATCAAACTCCTTACGCAAAACCCAAACTCTCCTACTCACTAGTGGCTGCAGGATGAATGTCCGAAAGTTGTAGCTAATGGAATCCGCCATATTTCACGCGAAGCTGATATTTATTATCAGCATTTATTGATGATGGAACCATGCTGTGAAGAAATGGATGGTGGAAACTAAAGGATGTTGGATTTTGACCCGTTGTCAGAGAGTTGACTAAGTGAAGACAGTATAGAGTTTATTAAGCTTTACTGAAGTTGAATGGTAAGTTATTTACGTAATATCTCATTCTCACAGCCCAGTAATTTGTTCCATACACTTATGCCACTCACCAAAACGTTTTATGAGACATTAAGAATATGGATGCAAAATATCGACGTGAACGGTAAACAAATCATAATACACACCATTCAAGTATCAATTTCCATTCACTCTTTATTTGTGAATGTACTCTACTAACAGCTTGGCATAAGATCGTTGTATTTTTTCAGGGCTCCTTGCTAACATAATCTAATTAAGATAGCATTAATGATTCTTTTCCCAATAAGTACTAATATAGGTAACCTCACACAAAAGTCGAAATTGTCATCCTCTGTTTGTAATATAAGTAAGGCACCAATTCCTCACTACCACTAAAGTAATCTCCAATTTATAAAGTGAAACATTTAACATTTAGTAAGTCCTAGGATATTATCTGTCCATTCATTGTAAAACTAGTGCATATGTCTCCGTATTACTCTTCAAGTGCCCTAATACCTGCATTACAAGACACAACCACTAGTTTGGTCATCATTTCATTGCAATTAACACGAGTAATGCCTAGGTGCCATGTGATTAAATGATATGCCAGTATCTATTTATCGACTTATCAAACCAAAGTGGAAGTGAAGCACGTTGACAGCCGATGGTGAGACTATTAGAGATAGTCTTGGGTGGGCAGACATTTAATGATCTATTATGTGACGGTAGAAGGTGGAATAAAAATCAAACACCTACTATTTGAATAGCAGTCTACCATCCCCCAGATTACTTCAGATAATCTCAGTAATATAAAATATATATATTGAGATTTTAATTAAATTTTCAAACTTTCGATATGTGATCTGTTCAAATTCTTCTTGATAAAGCCCTAAACTTCCCACAGTAGCTTGCCGAGATACACAGAATTCCTTATAATTACTATTTAGTGTCATGATGAACTGTGAGCAGTCGTATTTAAGCAAAAAAACAATTAAACCTAGGGAATCTCACAGTAACTGAACATGTTCATCTGAATGACGCAGACTAACTATATTCTACAAGGGACAAAATAAACAAACTTCTGTAAACATGAATTTTAAAAATATTCCATGCTTCCCGTGATTCTATCAGTTTTCACTCTCCTCGCTTATCCTACTATGTACTACCCCGTCTTAATTTCTTTATTTGGGTAGAATGAGGAAGCTATATTTAAACCTTAAATTTCCGGCACTTTTATTTCTGTCCTAAGGGTAAAACTTCCTTTACACCATTTCATTGTCACTATTTGTTCTCACTGTTGTGCAGCCTGTTATATAAAAGCAAATTTTAAAAATATGTTAGAAAATATGAAAGATAATAAAAGAGCGTCTGTACCTTTTAAGTATCATGAAAAAAAACAATGGGGAAGAGTTATTAAACTCGCCTAACTTGTGATGATTTGAATGCTTTTACATCTATTACTTGTCAATCAAATGTTGAACATAAGCCTTTTTATTACCTCTATGCATGTGTGTGCTCATTTACAGAAATGTATTATTTAGAGTGTACTTTAGAGAAATTTAAAAATCTGAGTATTTCAGAAACTTAAAATCTCAACATAGTGATAAGATGCTAATCATATGAATAAGTAACCTTAAGAGTAACAACTATCTGTAAAAATACACATCCACACTCTGCGCGTGACTACAGTTTTGGGATATTGAGAATTCCAAAAACTAGGGTTGATAATATTTTCTTAAGGTCGATCAGTCAACTGCAGGGCCATGAGGGGAGATGGATGGTTAATACACGCATGGAGAATTCCTAGAGCCAACTTCATACTGAATTTAATGCTGAAGATGTTGTCTAGAACGAGGACGAAAGCCACGCTGTTGAACTATCCAGCTCAGAAAATGCAAATAAATCAAAATTTGTGATTACATTCATTTTATTGTATTGCTAAACTTCAAGAAAGTTAGCCTAACAGCAATAGGTAGTGATGTACAAAAAGTAAACCCTCACAGCAGTATAATTTTCAAACAAATCTTGTTCAGAAAATTTTAGTAACTGTTAGTAAGCATGGAAATCAATTCAAAGTATTTTCGGATGCTTATTTCGTATAGTGAAGAGTCAGGTACTGGGCAATGTATCCACGTGTTTCTGCGCTAATCGGTTACATTCGCTTTCCATCAGGCATAGCTTACTCGATACATTTATTCCCCTTTATGAATCTGAATAAACCAAGAATCACAGTTTGTGAACTTGATCAGCTAGAACTGGAATGTAGTATGTGTTTCTTTTAATAATACGACAATATTTCCACATCAAATGGTATTCATTCAAAGAACAGAGTTTCGTCCCAAATTGGACGAAATTTACATCCTGGAGTCCACTGCTAGTCACCATCCACCAATCGAGTTCTAGTTTTTGAATAGTTAATTCAATTAGTACACCTTGATACACCCTAAACTCTGAGTCCTTGTCTCTTCTTTCTTCCTAAAACCATTGAACATGTTTCGTTGAAAATCACCTTCAGAGAGTTCCAATGGTCTTCCACGCATGATTCCTCAGCGATGCCATGAAGTGTTTCCTGCTTTGCTCTGACAGTTGCAGTGAAAGTGTCCTTTATGGTTGTGTCCTTCAGTTTTTGCTTGTTGAATTTGTATTGTGGCCAGTAGGCTCCGTCTCCACTTCCTTGAGATCGAAATGAAGTCTATCTGGTTTTTGGTGTGTCCATCTGGTGAAATACATTTTGCCTTGTGTTTGAACACACTGCCACCAATCACCAAATCATTGAAGGCACAGAAGTCTGAGAAGAGTTCACCATTGTCGTTGTCCACTGGTTGTTCTCCGGGTGATTGGAATAGATTACTGTCTCTCCAGTTGATAGTTGGCTTCTTCCACATCCGTTCCATCTGCTCTCGCAGATTCCCAATACTTCTATTCCGTATCTTCCCATTTCTGTGGCTACCTGGGCAGCCTTTCCAGCTTCGTACATTGTTCGAACATTCCATGTCCCCATCCTTATTTTTGTTTTCATCGAAAGAAGGCACATCGGCTGACTGGCTTCCCGAAGGCTTTCACCAGCCTGCGTCATTTCGCTTTCATGATTCCAAGGAAAAATAAAATTATTGTTTATATTTTTAGTATTTTTAATATATATATGCATTGAAGTTTCTGTAGCAATTTGGTTAAGTTTTGGGGGTGGAGTTGCTAGCACCACGCCCCAACCCTCCCTCTTTATCCGGGCTTGGGACCGGTGAGGTTAAACTAAAATACGGGAATTGGTTTCATGATAATCTTTAGAGTTGGAAATTTCAACTCATTGGCTTAAGTTTAGCTCCATAAAAAAACATACTGATTAATCTTTTCAAAGAAAGAGTTCTTTCATAGTCGGTCAACTGGATGCATGATCGTGATTATCATTCCACCTCTCGGTGTACTGACAGGTGAAACAATCTCTTGTCACCTGGCTTAGAGACCTTATCATCAATACATTTTGACAGTGATCTGTAAACCGATTCAATTTCACTACAGTTGGGTGACTGGTATAATGCATTAAAAAAAGAACATATACGTGTATACTTTGCTTTTTAGTTCACTTTTCAATATATATTTAATCAGTTATAATCTTTTCTGGCTACTAGTCAATGATTAAATCCACCAAGCCACACCCATTTTGGTGATAAACCCATAATGAAATCACAATTTTTTATTATTGAAGTTTTAGTACATCTGATCCACACGCATAATGCAAAAATTGCATATACTGTACGTGATATGGAATTGTTTATGCCTGTCTTTTCTATATCTGCGAAAAACGCAGGAATTTTCACTCCTAGAAACTGTAAAATACCTTCTTTCTGGCTATTATTTTGACGGTTATATTTTGCTTTGACCTGACAAAGTGATCAGTCTTGGAAGACTTGACTAAAAAGAGGTAATATGAGAGGTAAAACCTTATCAGAATTCCTATACCTATAGACAAGAAGGAAGATGTCAATATATCTGACCACCAATAGTAGACCCCTGTAGATAATTAACTTCAAATCATTAAGAAGAACCAAAATGCAATCATAATAACAGAAGGCATAAACGAACAGTCTTCAATAAAACAGATGTGAAGTGACTTTGAACTGAAAAACTGCCAACAGTTAACGTTTCAGTAGTTCAGTAAAGACCAAAGACTGAAAATTTCTTCACACGCTAACTAAGGTAGTCACTTGTGCAAGTAATTAAAACAACTTAACCTTGAATTTGTACATAAGACTATTTGACAAACTTTAAATTTTATAATATGGCCTGGTTCTTAACAAAGATGAGCTTCTCAAGTGTTGCTTTTGTAGTAATTTTGTTTGACTGGTTGGAAGAATTCGTCATGAGCTGACATCAGTTGGAGAACCATTAGAAAACCTAGGAGTACTGAACAGCTGCCCCAAAGTAGGATGGAGCAGCTCTTCAGTACTCCCAGGTATTTCAGTGGCTCTCTAAGTGATGTCAGTTCATAATGAAATCCTCCGAAGACGAGATTCGTCACTTAGTTTCAGTGTTATTTTTTTCAGTTTATATAGTATATATCGTTCATTGAGTATCCAAAAATGATTTTTTTCTATTTCTTTAATTTATCCCAGTACTGTTTAAGCGAAGAAAACGGTTTCCTATTGGATAATTTATTTACAGTTACAGAACATTTGAAATACTTCAAAAATATCCTACAAGGTAAGAAATTTATATTCTTATAAAATAATAATAAAATTGGTAAAAAGTGAGGTGAAATTGAGATCACTTTACGTTTCTTTATATTTCCTTGTGATTTTCCCTACTGCCAGACAAAGATTTTGACACACATCTAGACATCAGCTTCACTATAGTCACACTTGACTGATTCAACTTTCGGCGTCAAGGAATTTGTAAATATCTTTGGAGCCATGTTAAGACTGCTTTCATAATTGACAGGAAATAACTAACTTGTTCATAAGAGTGTTAAGAAATCTGGTTACGACTCTGTTTTTACTTTTACTGTTTGTTAAATCTCATATTTTTCCTATTCCTCTTTAAATAAAGCAATGAACAATAGTTTGTACAGAAAAGAATGGTAAAATAGTTTATTTCACCGGTTTCTTATCATCTGATTACAACCTAAAGAAATTATTATGTTCATTTAACGAACAATTTTAACATATGTACAAATGTCACACGATTTCAGCTAACAGATGACTCCAAACTTGATAAACAGTGCTCGCAAAATACACGTATAAAGCTAATTCACAGGAAGTTCAAGTTTAGACACAATATGAGATGCTTGAATACAATGACAGAAAATTTATTTAATAAAGCCAAGAGGTGAATAAGATGATGAATAGCCAACAGGTGGTGAGTTTAACTCCATTCATAGAAAAAAGGCAAAGAAATTTATATCATAGTGAAAGAGAAAAGGGTAAGGCCAAAGGTTAGGTAATCATATGAGAGAGGGAGAGAGTAAAGCCATCCCGTTACCAAGTCAAGGAAAGACTGATAACTACTTCTTTCTGAGCACAAATCGAGTGTCAGGCATTTTACAGCACTTACTTCGATAAACTCTGGGAGAATTGAGCTGTATTGTCTATTGATAATGTTAAAGGATTCCATGGTGTCCACCCAGATTGACAAAATACCTAGTAATAACACTAATGGAAGAAATTGTCCCCTTGGGACTCAGGCTTTTTGCCACACATACAGAGAATCGGATTTGTGCTGTTTTTTCGGTTCTTCCAGTGTAACGGCTATTACAAATACATTTAAATCTGTATACACACTTAGGGCTAATACTATTCCGCATTATTCTTCCCTGAGGTAATTAAAAAGCACTTTGTTACATTCTGAAGGACAATAAAAGCTTTTATTAAGCTAAGTGGTGGACTCCTAGGCCGACTGGTTGGTATCATCGTTGCTAAACACTTACGCTCATGCAGGAAACAAGCCAAAGTCACTTTATCGAGCTACAAGGACCCTCTTTATCACAGACTCCTCCTCTGCACCTTCTCAGCCAGGACAAAAAGTAATTGCAGGAAACATTACACCCACATAACTAAATACTATATTTAAAGATGCCTTATTTTGAGCGCATTTTATTTAATGAAAAAATTTATTGGCACGGAGTTACCAACTCACTGTGCATCAGTGAGTAAACAGCTCTTCCGAATGTTCCTATCTTTAATGTATTCTTATAATTATACTCACTAGTTTTTAATTTATTTTATATTCAAATATTATTACTGTTATTATCGTCATCACTCTAAACATCATTGGATCCCATGATTATTTTTCCCTTACTACCTAATGTTAAAAGAATACTGGATGCAACATTCTGTTGTAGGCTGAGAACTCCATATTGTAAAAGAAGTTCGAATCCCGGTGGGTGCGTACTGATGAAGAGTCCCGAACTAGGACGAAACAGCTGTCTAGTACTCCCAGGTTTTCCAATGGTTCTCTAAATAATGTCAGCTGATGATGAGATTCCTGTAACAAAAGTACTGTTTAGAATAAAGCCATTATATCGATTCAGGAAAAATTCTTCCTTTATAGACCAATCAAGTCCACCTGAAACTCTCAGTTTGTATCTATTTCATTTCAAAATCGCCTATTCTATTCTGATAAGTGACTATATACTTCCAATACTTTGAAGTAACTACTGAATCATACATTATACACATGTGGCACGTACATTTGATAGACGGAAACTCATCAACCAGCAGTTCGAATCTTTATGTGATGATATGGAATTTCAATATATAGTCAGTTTTCATTCTTCCTAATTAGTCTGAGCTTTAGCAGACAATATAGTGAATGGATATTTTTAGAACACACATCTTGCCATCATTTACCACTTTATAATCTAGCTAAATTTCTCTGCTGCAATATTTTTAATAATCGTCATTGCCTTGGGATGGCTGTAAACGGATATTTTTGCTCGAGGGGTAATTTATAAATATTTATGTGTATATCATGCGCTCGATTCCCTTGATTAGTTTGATTAAAACAAGAAAAAAATATCCGTTGGATTAAAAGAGCTCACTTTCTATTTCATAATTCTGACAGCTGCTAATAGACCAAAACTGATATAGGTTATCATAAATGCAAAAATATATGACAAACTTCGAAGATTATTTCAAGTGATGGGTCGTTTAGCAAATATTAACAGATGAAGGAAGGCAGTAAAATGAAAAAGAGCTACATTTCTTCCTGCAAACATATATACATATATATATATATGATTTCTAAACGCATCAATTTTCCAAGTCTCTACAGAATATTTATCCTTGGTTTCATTGAATTGTTTAATCATTTCTTCGTATTTGTGTGATCGTTCTGGAATTTCTGAAATGCATTTTTGATTATAGACGCTTTCAAGAATCTCTAGCTTCTTATTTCTAAAACTGATAAGTGCTGCATTGAAAAAGTGATGTCTCTTTTCGGTACAAAATCCTCAATACTTTAACTGCGAAATATATACTTCATGTCCAGATGTTCAGGTAAAATGACAGTCAACGCTATATATCATTTGAATCATGGTGGCATAATCTGAAGTATGCTCTAATCCTCCACGATATTCTCCCTAACTTGCTTTGTAAAATAACTAGCTACAGGTTGAAAGCTAACTGAAAATAGGTGGGAGTACAGGCTGTGATTTATTGATATCACCATATGAATAAAATAATGAGAAATTCAGGGAACTTGATAATTTTTGCTGGATGCATAGTGGCCCAGGTCAGCGATTTAAGCAGACTCCAATTTTTTGTTAAGTGCATTTGAAGGCAGTAACTCCTGGAGCAAATTTTATCTAATTTTGAAGCACTACGTATTTGACCTACATACTTAATAAGTGGAGTGTTTGGTGGAGTTATCTTTCCGCTTCGTATTTTTTAAAACCCCGGAGCTGTTCTCTCATTTCAAATTTGATAGGAAGTATTCAAAAGAATCGCTTTAAAACTATAGCTCTTAATAACCAATCATTTAATACCATGTTAGATTGCGTTAATATTTAAGGCAAAACTAGCTGCTGTGAGCTATCATCCAACAACTCATATTGTGAAATTCCTCTAGTAAAAGAGGAAATAACTAGTAGACTTGTGTACTGAAAAAATACTGCTGTTGAATACAAGTAATGACTAAACTGATAAAAGGCCTGTGTACGTAAAAATAAAATCAAGTCATTCTTTCTGCCGATTTCAATTTGTCAAAATGATTTCTTAAATTACTCATTACCTTCCATATTCAAGTCATTCTGCGGAAGCACACCCAACGTCAATGTCACTAGAATGGTTAGAGTTTGTGCAAATATACATATACGCAAATAAGTAGAGCTTACTGAGTAGACTACCACACCTTGAATGATGATTCACCATGTGAATCACCACAATACTATAACAATACGCTTAAAATTGACATAAGCTTATTAGTTTTCCTGTTTTATACGAAAAAAATTGCAAAGTTTATATATTCAAATACCTATTGTGAGAGTAGACTTTAAATAAAATTTATATTGATATAAGCTTGTTTTGTAGATTGGATGTTTTGTTGTTAAAATAAAATGTTTAGGGCTAAGCTAACTTCTAAAATTTTGAATGGATGGATCAATGTGTGTGGCTAGCAAGCAGTACTGTTTGACTTGAGTGGTTTTCAACTGCTCAAATCAATTCATCAGTACTATATAGGGTCACGCAAGCTATTCAGCTTCATAAGCTGAAACGATTCGCTTTCTTTAAGTATTAAGTTGTACACAGAACGACATAAATATTGACCAATTTAACTCTCTCACTTTTTTGGAAATTATGAGTAGGTCTTAGTTTGTGGATACCTTACGTTGTTAACAGTAGGCAATGAATCAGGTTAAGTATAACAGACTTTCAGTGAAGTTATATGTGGCTAGAAGATATAACGATTATTCATAATTTCCACTTTTCTGGTGATTTTTGTGTTTCAGTCCAAATAGAGGGATTACGTCACTGGAAATGCACTCACATAGAAGAAATATTCAAATCTTGATACTGTATATCCTAGAGTCGTGATCATTTTTGTTTTTGTTTTTCACTTTAACTACACTTGCCTTCGACTCACATGTACTGACACTGAAGGGTTCGCAAATCAACCATCCAGCCTAGAGAACACAACTACATCAAAATCACCTGCCTGAGCTACAAATCTCCATTATGCTCACATATACTGATGCAAAACACATCTTAACTTCGACAATTGTGTAACAGCACCGAGTAGCAAGGCGCCTTATTCAGAGCAGGTGTGTGCCTGTTTGCATTTGTCTTCCTTTCTACAATCAACCCACTGATTGCGTAACTTCACTTCATTGTATTCGCCATGACTGTAAATTTGAATATTTTTTACAAAGATTTTTCGATAAGGTGAATAGAAAACCCACAGCATAGTGTAATCAATCTATTTAACCCATGATCAATTCATGCAGTTCAGGAGAAACACACTTTTTTTAATTTTTTCATTATAAAGCTGAAGCAGTAAACCAATTCCTAAAAAATTCATAATTATTGAAAAATATGTAGATCATATATGTAAATATGTATGTTAACTTATGTTAGGAAGGAACAGTGTAATCCATCATGTTTAGTGAGTATTAAAAACGGATTAGTTTCACATGAACATCATACACTTTAACACTTGTTATGCAAACTGCAGTCACTTATAAACACGAGGTTTTTATTTCATGGGGTTTATTCTATCAAAGTTTTAAAATTATATATCACCTGTTGAGATATACATATTTGTTAAATGCACACAATACATCGTAAATGATGATAGGAAACACCGCCTAGACTCAAACTGATTTTTCTGACTAAGATCAGATTAGATTTTAACTTTGTATTACCTTGAAGTCATTTTAGACTTCATATTATACTGGATTCAGATGCTCATTCTCTGTTGTCAGACTGATGCACCTTCATCCCAAATGAGTGATGGTGTTCCCCACTGAGACTCTAAATCTCTCCGTCTGCCTGTTTTCGATATAAAACTTTGCACATATGTGCGGCAGTTCAAGTCGCCACACTCCATGAAGCACACAAAGGAAGAGAAAAAAGTAGAATAAATGCAAAATAGGGACAGTAGACAGGGATATGAAACAAAGGAATAGTAATAACGAAGAACATTATAGTTTCATTGGAAATCATAAGTCACAAGCAGTGGATGCATCTGCACCAGCCATTGAGAATAATTTGGAGCCATATCAAGAATTGTTTCCAACCATTGATTTTTACCGTCCCAAGGACCCCAACCAGGAAGCCAGTCCACACCTTCCTACGTGGCTTAAACTAACTGTTGTAGATTTCCTTGACTGGTGCCATGTTTTGGTTTGACCGCCGCTAGCTCTTTTCCAGCCTGACCCTACATCAGCTAACATTGCCCATCGAGGAAGGCGATGACTAGGCATACGTAGCACATATCCTAACCATCTCAGTCGATGTAATTTCACAGCCTCGTCGATTGATTTCCCTTCCTTATCTAGCACTCGACGCCTAACCTCAATATTTCTCACCTTATTATACCACTTCACACGGGAGATAGAATGCAGGCACCTATCATCAAAGACAGCTAGTGTTTTCATGTCTTCCACTCTCAATGGCCAGATCTCACAGCCATAAAGGAGGAAAGATCGGACTGCTGAGCAGTAAAGACGCCCTTTGGTCGACAGTCAGCCGGATATCACGTCTACACCAGAGACGGCGTAAACTGGCATATGCGAAACTAGCCTTCTGTATCCGTACTGAGATTTCGTCAGCAATCAACCCGCTGGTGTTGGCTGATGGTACTTTCCAAATAAGTGAAGTGGCCAACGTGCTTTACCACTTCACTTCCTATTTCCAATCTAGGAGTCAGTGTAGTCCGACCCTTTAACATCATCTTGCATTTGGCGGGAGCAAATCGCATGCCAAACATTCGTAGATTGCAGCTCAAGGTGTTCAGAAGACTCTGCATTTTGATAGCGTCGTCGTCTAGAAGGACTATATCGTCTGCATATTCTAATTCAACGAGATTATTCCCTGGTAGCAAGCCGATCCCTGAGTCGCGGAAGTGAGTTAGGGTTAAGAGACTCTAAATCAGCCCCCATAGTTACAAATTCCAACTGGGAACACCATGATTCACTGGGGATACACGTATATCCAACTCACCAGTCCAGATAGCAGTGAATGTGAATACTAGAATCCACTGCCGGTCATCATCAGTCAAGCAACACCAACGCAGTTGACAGAATTCAGTAGTCGAAGAAAATGTTCAACATCTTAGACTCACTGATGGAATACTGGTTGTTTGCCACTATTTTAATCATGAATCTCAAATGAAGTCAGCACATATAATAAGCGATAGTGTAACTAAAGATTATTTTTCACTGTAATAAGTGTAAACAGACGATATTGGTACATCCCTACAAGAGGTAAATAGCAGACTTAATGTTAACGTCTCTAACTGCACCAGTGGGTGATGTGGATTCGAATATTATAGGGAACATGAATTTCTTCAAGTCTGGAGATGCAGCACGCTAACGAGCGTTAGTAAGAAACCCAGTTCCCGGGCTTATTGCCAATTGCTTCCCGCCACCACACATTATTTAAAAGCATTTCCAGAAGTTGTAAGTCCCCTGGTTTAGCGACCACACTACAAACTGATTGATAGAATTCACTCAGTGCCACTGAGAGAGCTAGATATGTGACACCAGTCACACCCTTATGACTTATCAGTATGACATAACCGGCATATAAGAAGAAGAAAATATCCTGATGAATCTTCGCTAGACAACAATCGTCATTTAGTGCCTTCAGTTATATCAACGGACAAACAGTCTTGTTTTTCCTAACATGCAATGTTTCATCTCCCCACACTTCCTAATGGCATCTTGTTCATTCTTATAACACCTAGTTTATCCACATACTATTAATTTAAGCTTTCAAATTCCGTACTTCCATTGTTCACATTGTTTGGCAGTTTTTGATTCTCAAAAAGTGAAAATGCTACCGTTTCTAGAACCACTCGAAGTATCATGTGAACTTTCCTGGGTGATTTCGATTGACAGTATGAGACAATTTCTTCTGGTGTTTGAGCTACTTCAGTAAATATCTCAGTATTACCCCAAAATTTCATTTTGTTGGTTTTTTAATCCTTTACGTTCACAGTGGAACATAGGGCTCAAGCTAGAGATTTGAAGTTTCGGTAAAAGCGATATTTATTTTTACTGGGTGGGGTTGCTAGCCTCATGTCCAACCTTTCCTCTTTATCAGTCTAATTACTGACTTAGCGAGGTAAAGGATTGCGTCGGCCGGGGATAGATCCTCGGAACACATGCGTGGTTGGCAAGTATTCTACCTCTGTTCCACCAACGCCACTTTGTTGATGGCTAACATTAAAATCTAAGAGTTTTAACATTCTCCAAACTGCATTCTAATCCAAACGAAGATACTTTAGAGGTGACATGTTTAAAAAGTCATTATGCCTTCTGTTTACATCTACCACGTGCGGTTATTTAACTGAATTCAGGGAAAAACAAGTGTGCAGTTAGGATATCAGGTTGTGACCAATAGCTTTTTCTGTACGCATTCAAACAGAACTTGTTCACATATCACTACTCACTTAGGCTAATTACTATCCTCTTTTCTCCTATCTTAGTGTACAAAACTTTAGTCCCAATATTTTGTAATGTGTATTCTTCATTCTTAGAATTTTCAAGCTTTTTCTGTTTAATGCATACTATAATTGTACTAGCTGCCCAACAAACAGTCTTCCATTAAATTGTCACTTTTGCTTCCCCGAATGGGATGAATTTACTATGACCAATAATAATGATTATCTTCCACTTGAAACTTATTTTGTAACTTCTCTCAGATCACCTAATTTCTCATGTAAATACTATTTATCCTGTTACCGAAAAATTTGAAATACATCTAGTTTTATCTTCGTAACCATAATAACAAATTTTATATCAGTAAGTACTTGAAAAAGATTTCTTTAAAAGAATACTCGCTTTATGCTAAAACTCGCGCTGCAGATGTTGTTCAGAAGGACGACGAAAGCTCCGCAAGTAAACTTATCAGCTCAGAGAACCCTACCAATTGCTAATCATCCACCTGAGCTACAAATCCCCTCTATTACTTCAGAATACTCGCATGTGAGACCGACTTTTGCTACACCTTGAAATCTCACATAATTGCGTGAACACGGTTTATATAACTCGTATACGAGAGGCTATGGGACGTGAAATAGGCTTGATTTGATCAAAATGACTTAATATACCAAGGGAATTACTGAAATTTATACAAACGTCTGTTGGATACTGAGCAGTAGCTTTGAAATGCATAAAGTATCAGTGGGTTATTATTATTATTATTCTACTAAGTCCCGGGTGAAACATAAGGCTTCAGCAGAACATCTCCATTCCACTTTGTTACCTGCAGTCCTTTCTAGGAGGCTTCACCACTGCTCACAAGCTTCAACCTCCTTCTCATACGGTCTCCTGCATGTCACTTTCGAAGGCCAAACTCGTCATTCCCCATTCAGTCTGTATTTGACGACCAGCCACGTGATGTCACTTAGCTGTCTCCTCGGCGTATGCACGATTCATCTCTATTTCCTTTTGTATATTTTTTGGGGAGCTGGTTCCTGGTTGGTTCGTTATCAGAGTTCATAATAAGTGTTATTATTCATATGTTTTTCGAATGCAATAGTTCCATATTTTATAATTTTGTCTTTTCTGATTCTTATATTTTTTTATCGTTAGACAGGAAACCTCAACAACCAGTGCAACAGAATGACTCTGGAAATAATACAACCAGTGCAACTGATTATTCATCATATGAAAATAGTAAATCAGAAAATTCAGCACGACGTCTTATATCACCATATCAGAATATTGAAACAGATACTGGTAAAAAGCGTTTTCAAACTACTGTAAATTTACGCGACAATGTCTTGTCTCAATCACAGCCTAATTTAAATCAAGATGTAAATTATTTTAACCATAGTGCTGTTGCTAATAATCATAATAATCGCAGTAATATCGATAATTCCAATACACCCAATGACAGTAACAGTAGTATTGACAAGCCTAAGAACAGTAGCAATAGTAATAAACGTTATCAGAGTGCGCCCAAAAAATTTCCAGATACCCTCCCCGGTTATACAACAAAAAGTGAGTTCATTATTGTTTGTTTTTGCGAAATGATTTCAAAATAAGTGATTTATCTCATTATGCAGACAGGAAAAAGTTATTCTATGTTTGCCTGCACTTTTATAAAATTCATTTTATAAGATTGTCTATGAAATGATCCAGTACCCAGACTTGCTTATGTGACTGACCTAAATAGTCACAGTCTCAAGTGTTGGTTTTCATAGATTTGACCAGCCCCAAGTTTTTTTCCGTCCTTGTTTGGGTCCCCTCAGTAGGACGTACCTATGACTCTGGCTCTGATCGAATCCTAGACCTTCAGATTACAAGGCGGACGCCTTGACCATCCAGCCACTAGGAAAGAATCAAATGGCTCATGAATTCCAACTTCTGCCAGTTCACAAATTTTAGCGCCACCACCAACCAATACCATCGACGATCATTCGTCTCAACGTCCTATCTGGTGTATCTCACTTGTCGCGAACTCACAAAATGTAAAATCCACCGGCCATATGACTCTGTTCTGATGATTGGATGGTGTACGAGTTCGTCTGGTGACCTGCAGGTCCTGAAGTGGATCATCGATGGGGTTATGAATGTGTACTGCTGAAGATTTATGTTCATTCTGATTTGACACTAGTGACTAGTGTGATGCGTCTAGTCCTCTCTTTGGTGCAGACTGAATTCTATCAGTCAGGTTGTAATGTGACCACCATTCTAGGTGACCGCCATCACGGTGTACATTGTTTGTGATGATATGAGATGGTTGGAGGCAATCGGCAGGAAGCCTTGGACCTAGGTTTCGTGCTAGTTGGCACTCGCCTCCAACCATCTCATATCATTTATGTTCATTAAATAAGGAAATCTCTTTAGTCTGCAATAAGACTTGATCGACATTCGAATTTCAGCCAGTATTCTCTAATTTCAGTTGGTAAGGTACGGAAGTGGTGAAAAGGATACCTTTAACTTCAACTCATTCATTTTAGTTTTGGTTGTTTTTCGCTTGTATCAGTTACGTCCCCCAATTAAAACTCTCTGTTATTTTCACTGCATTTATCGAAATATTTATCTCACATATATAATGGTAGTAACAATTTCAATGATACTTACAATTTAGCCAGCTTACTTGGCCACAACAGCCACCATTTGTACAGCAGGCATCAGTTGCTTACTTTTGTACTTCCTGTGGATAGATTTTCAGACATCGCCGTAGTATTCATGCAAGTAGCCGTCGTGTTGACATAAATAAAGCAATTAGGTCCCATAAAAAGTCGATCAACGAAAATTAATAAGCAATGTAAACAAATGTATACTACTCTCTTCATTTCACCTGGTATACACCCACTATACAATAGTCAACAGAATCATATTACTGTTTAGAAATCAAACAAAAAACTGTCTACTATTTCACAACTTTTCGTGTTAAATGGGATTTTGTTTTGTAAATAGTTACCATGTAAACAGAATATTCTATAAGTTCCACCTGAAGACAAAATTAGCGAGATTATCATGATTACTGTAAACGTGAGAACTCACTCCTAAAGATGGAGGTATCTTGGATATTTTGCAGTAAGTAACTTTTATATGTGAACTAATTGGCAGTTTAAACAAAACAGCACAGCAAAAGCAGAAGGTAGGAGAAGTAATGAGTTTTAAAAAATAATGAACTGGCTTGTCTGCTTAGAGGAAACTGAACGAAATGCATGTAAAATCTGTTTTAATTTTAAATAATTAAAAGTTTCAGATTCTCAGTACTAATGTAAAGTCAGTGTTTTTATATTATTTAAATTTGGTATACTCGCCACCAGACGCATTTCTGAAAGCCTTCTGCAGACTTTCATTAATCGGCAGTCAGAAAGAATAAGCAGCTTAAGACTGTTTCAGATAATGAACCAACCGAAAACTTGCTGCCAAACGAGTGTGATGAAGGAAATGGAAATTGTTATATATGTCCAAACCAAGTTCACTTTTAACGGTTTGAAAAAATTTGGGCATTGGGTATATGATATTCATTATAGTAAAGGTTTTTGTATTTCCCAATGAATGAAAAACAAAACGATATTGTTTTTACTGACGTTTCGCTATTCAATGCTGCTAATAGCTTTATCAAAGTATTATTAAACCGGAATTTACAAAATCTCAGCATATATATAACAAAGAGTTAGGGGGTGAGAAAATAGACTTTAGTCAAGTTAAAAGGACATAATGAAAGTAAAAGTAGCAATGAAGATAACTAAACCAAATCACAAAGGTAATAGTATGTCTGTTATGATATCAAATGCCCCCAGACAAACGAACGATGATCAAGTTAGTAAACTTTATTTTGATATCATAACAGACATACTATTACCTTTGTGATTTGGTTTAGTTATCTTCATTGCTACTTTTACTTTCATTATGTCCTTTTAACTTGACTTAAGTCTATTTTCTCACCCCCTAACTCTCTGTTATATATATGCTGAGATTTTGTAAATTCCGGTTTAATAATACTTTGATAAAGCTATTAGCAGCATTGAATAGCGAAACGTCAGTAAAAACAATATCGTCTTGTTTTTCATTCATTGGGAAATACAAAAACCTTCATTATAATCAAATGGAAATTGACTGGATGTTCACTGAGAAAACCAACAGATGAAATTACGAGTGGAAGGCGAACGATTAATTGGTAGTGGATCAGAGGGTTACATGGTGGAGATGGTCAGAGGTGGAAATGAAAGCCTGTGAACAATCGTGGAGCCCAAACGAATAACAGTATGTCCTATAAGTCTAATACACAACGAAATTTGGCTTTAATGAATCAAAAGTCTACTGTCTAAAGTGTAAGCGTTTTAAACTATCTCTCCTCTGATCTGAGCTGAAATACACGTCAGTGAACTGTGTGTGTTTCCAATGTTTTCTGGACTCTGCTGTCAATTTCTTTCAAATATATAAAGTTTTCATTAAACCTATGGAGAGACAAGAAAACTACTTTTATGCATTCCTGTCACAAAACTTTTCCACATCATACGAAAAAGATTACTTTCTACCTTCACTGAGAAAGAAGTTTAAGTCAGACGTTTTATTCTCAAAATGTCTTGAGATTCGTTTGACGAATATGTGGAATGCAAAGGCTTAGCAACTCTGAATGAGAATAAAATATCGGTTTGGGATTATTTAGGCTGTGAATGTCTAACAGCCATATTTCATAATATCAGCATCATTAACCGCATAAAGTAATGGGTAAACACAGCAGTTATTTAACTGACCTCATCTACAGAAAAGAATGACAGCTGTTGATGTGTTCTCTGAGCTGAATAGTTCCTTTGCGAAGCTTTCATTGCCCTTCTTGGCAATACCTTCAGCAAATAATTCAATTTAAAGTGTGCCTTTAGATTTCTCCACCAGTATATTAGTCATCTCTCCTAGTGACCCTGAACGTGATTGGTTGTTTTTGTGTGTTTTCACACCGTCTAGACTACTTGTATTGCTATTGGTGCTGATTGTTCCCTCAACCTGAACTTTCACCTTTTACAAAATTTACCAATGGATAAAAGGGAAATATCACACACCAACGTCAAGATTCAGGTCAAGGAAACAATCAACACCGATTGCAATACAAGTAGTCTAGACGGTATGAAAACACACAAAAACAACCAATCACGTTCAGAGTCACCAGGAGAGATGACTAATAAACTCATAGAGAAATCTAAAGGCTCACTTCAAATTGAAGTATGCGCTGAAGATATTGCCTAGTAGGGCAATGAAAGCTTCGCGAATAAATCATCCAACTCAGAGAGCACAACTACACTAAAATCATCCACCTGAGCTACAAATCTTCTCCATCATATCTAAGAATGACAAGTGCATGAAAACCACTTCTAAAATTTCTCTCAGAATGAAAAGTTTGGCTTTGATCATATCTGAAGTTGGCAATTAACCACCTGCAGATAAATATGCTCAAATACACTTTTAGGAAGAAAACTATGAGTTGGGTTTACCATACTATATGATTTACAGAAGCATAGACTCTACATTCAATAAAATTTTATTTCAGAAGTATACAACGAAAATTTCTTTAATTATGAAGTCACCGTTACATTAGGATTCCCATCTTCATCATGTCATTTATTTTAGTCATAAATGGTCATATTTACATCCTTCGCATGAGTTACATCATCACGTTATTGAAACAGTATCATAGTGATTGTGATATGTATCTTTTTTTCTAATTTTACTGCAAAGTCTAGTTATTTATATTTGTAGCGCTAAAAGCTGATATTCTTGACTAAGGAAAAATAACTTGTCACACTACTTATCCCATGTGGAAATGATTCACAATTGTTGTATGTTGTTTGTTTGTTTGTTGTTGTTGTTTTTCATTTTCGTTTTAATCAGTGATGTGTAAATATTTAGGAATATCCTTTGTTTCCACTGCGGTTTGTGGATAACTGTATACGCCCAATCATGTTATCACTTATTTAGGCTGTGCCCAAATTCTATTCTTACGCTAAAGTAACGTTTGACTGTTAACTTTAGATTAAGGCGGAAAACAGTAGTAATAGTAAAAAAAAGAAATTTGATCTTATCTGCTTATGGATTAGTCATCTTAATACAATTAATAAGTTATTTTCAATATAAATGACACCGAGAAGATGATTGAAATAATTTAAACCAGTGCCAAAATGTAACTAATAATGATGACAGTAGTGATGAAAATATGTTTTAAAAAAGCACTAAACTCCTAAAAGTCACTGTTTGAAGAGTATGATGTCGCGATTTGTAGTCAATGTCTTTTCATGCTCAAAAATATGCTTATGTCAGTTGCCATAATACGAAAACTATAATTATGATTCGTAAATAAAAATCTTAGAATAATTCGGCTTTAGATCGCTATTCAGCTTTTATATTAAAACAAATAGTTCCTTAAAATGCATCACATAATGTAAACATTTTTGGTTAATCTGTAAGGATTTGACTGCAAGTTTGATGACGAACAGAGTTCAGTTAGATAAATACTGAAAACTCAGGAGTGATGAACAGCTGTTTCGTCCTGGCCTGTGGCTACTTAGTAGTAGGCACTCATAACTCCACCAGGGATTATACACAGGAGGTTCAGGTTACAAGGCTAGGTCGTTGGCGAATCAGCGTCTGGATTTGATCCTAGATGGAATAATAAGTGCGCGCTTCTGAACAGTCTCATATTAAAACGGAAACAATATGCATTTCCCCTTCAGTTCTTAATCGTTCTGTAATTTTGGTTAGTTTCTGATCATCTTGATTATTCATCTACAATAATTTCAAAATAATGTGTTAATTTTATGAAGATTTGATTGATCGATATTGGAAGAGGGTGATTAACTTATGAAGAGTGTAGAACTAAGCCCAAACAGACGTGAGTTTCACCATTTTAGGTCACTAATGAATAGTGTTAAGAAAGTTACACCTATTTGACGAAAATGATTTTTGAAATAATGAAGAATTCTCATAACTTACAATTGCTAGTTACTTTTAGTTACTCTGAAATGGCATCTTAAATTCAAAAAGATCATTGTCACTGTTACCGAAAATAAAAACTATTAACTTTTTTATGTAGCTGTATTCTCTGTGCTGGATAGTTTATTTGAGAAGCTTTCATCGTCCTACTAGGCAACATCTTCAGCGCATACTTCAATTTGAAGTGTTAGGCATCTCTCCCGGTAACCTTGAACGTGATTGGTCGTTTTTGTGTTTTCACACCCTCTAGGCTACTTGTATTGGAACTGATTGTTTCCTCAACTTGAACTTCGACCCTTTGTGTGTGAGATTTCCTTCTTATCGATTGGCAAGTTTTGTCTATCTCGATGCATCTTTTAATTGACGATCTACTGGAATACCAGGCTTCTAAAAGTTCTCTATTATTCTTGGTGTTTCCTCTGTCTAATATTTGAACGTTGTCCCAGTCGAATTGATGTCCGCGCTTGTCTGTATGCAGCGATTTGAGGCAGTGGATGTCATATCTTTTGACGGTTAGATAAAATTTACCAATCGATAAGAAGGAAATCTCACACACAAAGGGTCGAAGTTCAAGTCAAGGAAACAATCAGTTCCAATACAAGTAGCCTAAAGGGTGTGAAAACACACAAAAGCAACCAATTACGTTCAAAGTCACCGGGAGAGATGCCTAATAAACTCGCGGAGAAATCTAAAAGCTCATTTCAGATTGAAGTGTTTGCTGAAGATGTTGTCTAGTAGGACGATAAAAGCTTCTCAAATAAACTATCCAACTCAGAGAACACAACTGCATCGAAATCATCCACCTGAGCTACAAATCTTGTCAATCATATCTAACTGTTAACTTTGAAATTACTCAAACTTTCTCAGTACCATTCATAGTCAGACACCCAACCACCGTGATAATCTGAAAGTATTTCAATGTTTAAAAATAGCTCGTAAATTTAAAATGTAACACTTAACGACAATAAATTAGGAGAAGACAAACGGAATTGAGAAGACAATAAAATACAGGAAGAGCATAAACAAGGGGAAGACCAAAATAATTCAGCAATAGAAAATGATTAGAAATTTCTATAAGAAGAAGAAGAATGAGCTTGTCAGCACAGATGTTAGCAATGTTCACCAGTTTTACTGAACGTCTCCAGTAACTGATGACTAAAATCTTTATGAAATTAGTTTTAGCTCTGTTTGCAACCAAACCTGCCAATCTTTCTTTTTGAGGGTATGTCTTTCAGTTGTTTAAAAAAAATCTCACTTCCCTTCAATCAGCATTACTGTTCTTGGGTGGTGATGGCTGCATGTGCTTAATGCAAATAGTAACAAGTCTAGTGTTTCCAAGCATCCAAAATTATGCAATTACTTCCTGTGTATACCCAGTTGCTTAAGTCTCACCCTAAACTGTGCTCATTCTATCGACTAGAGAAGAAATTATCATACACAATAATTCGCAGTGAAGGATACTAGACACATTACATTATTAAATGAATGGAGAAAGTGTCTAATTTACTGAGAATCTTTGAGAATGAGTCCTGTGGTATTAGAAATAAATCGAATACTTGTTTCAAAATGACAGTGAGGACGTTTTTTTAGATCATGTCATAATGTGTGCGTCGGTGGCACAGTGGTTAGGACTCTCGCCGACCATGCACATGGTCCGGGGTTCGATCCCCTGCCGGCGCACACCCGATATCTATGGTATGCCTGAATTTGGGCTACCGATATCCATGCTGAAAATTCTATACTTCTACTGAAAATACAGTGTGGAATCAAGCTGTAAATAAAAATTAAAAAAATAAAAAATAAATACTCATATGATGGACTAGAGCAAGATCATGAAACATGAATGAACGAAAGCGACCCGATCGAAAAACATCCACTAACAAATGTGGTTATATTCTCTAATAAGTGGTGCCTATAGGTAGTTCGATGAAGCCCGAAGACAATAGAAACACTTTGTAGATTTTAAATACTTAAGTCAAAAATATCTTTCTGGAATTCTGTCATACAATGTTTATTACATACAGCTTATTTTACTAACCAGTCAGCAAAAATTTGTACTCCTCTTTGGGTTTCATAACTGTTGAGTTTTATCAACAAGGTATATCTATAACTAATAAGGTGTACGTATTCTGTCCAAGAAAGAGGCGCACTCAATCACTCGAACTTAGTGATGAGTTATATTCCATGAAAGTGAATCGTGTGTATGAATTATTCTCCAAATGCCTGACTTTAACCTGTCCATTAAGTTTGCAGTATGGACGCTAGGCTTAGTGACATGAAAGTGTGATGATTATGTGCTATGTAAGACACAACGCTATTAAAATGGAGTATCTTCGCCATTACCTAGAAGCATCAGATGAGTAACTTAGAATTTAATACAACCGCAGAATAGTAGACATGATTCATCAACGGATAAAAACCACGTAAGTCACTGTTAGTAATGAAACGGTGTTTAATACATTAGTCTGGCGATTAATATCATTATTATTCGCCCCTTGCATTTGGAGTATGAATCCTGAGCTTCAGCAGGCCATCTTCATTGCACCTGGTTCATTGACATCACTTCACATGACTCAACAACTGTCCACAGTCTTTCATTTTGTCTCCATATGATGTCTCTCATGTGACCCCCAGACCCACACCTGACGCGTCGCTTCCCATTGCGGTCCACTAGATAACTTGGCAAGTGGCCTCACTCAATGGTCACTTCAGCGTATATCCATACTATCCTCGTTGATTTCGCTTAATTTTTTGGGCAACACATCATTGGTTGGTTGGTTGCCGGAGTTCCTTGTTGCACACCCCTTCTTTAGTACTCATCCAGCAGATGCAGTTGTTGATGAAAGTCTGCAGCAAGCTGTTGGAAATGCTTTTAGTGATGTGCACGCGAATTCCCTGAAAAATTTAGAAGAAATGACATAAAATTTTGGTTGAAAATTCGGATCTTCTTTGTGCTGACTGACGTAGATATCTACATTCGTTTCAAAATGGCGACATTCTCATTCATGTCATCTGTAATTAAAATGATACTGCCCACGTGAGTGAAATAAGTGACTAGTTTTAGATTACTCCCGTTGCTGATTGATGCTTATTTTTATTAGTTGGATATCATCATCACCTCTGTCTTCTGTATGCTCACCTGAAGTTCTGTATTCGCTGCCTCTTCCGCCAACTTGTAGGTTTTTGCTTGTAGATTCGCGAGTTTGTGAGATATTAGGCATACGTTATCTGAAAAATTCAAATATTTGCAAGGATCTTTCTATTGGCTCCACATATTCCTGTCTTCTCTGTTGCATAGTCTAGTCCACTATAATCAGGAATATCATCAATATCATCATGTCTTATAGTTGTTTTTATTGTACAGATTTGCATAATAGATTTCACTGATTTCACGCAAATCTGTTAAACAGTTATAGAATTGACAATTTAAGCTACATTCTGAATTATTGACATCTGACAGCATCTTTTGTTACACACATAAAATATCTGATAGCTATCAGAAACGACCTTGTGATAACTAAAACCACTGAGATACGAGACCAAGTTATTAACCGGCTTATCTTATCACTTCAACCACCATGGATAATGCTTAACTATGATGTCAGTGATTGAAATCCAACTTTCGTCACAACATCCTCATAACACTAGCTGTCCATCTAATTCTCATTTGTAATCATTGTGAATTAGAAAAGGGGGGGACAGGATGTTGACCGCGTGGTAGGACTTGCTCTGACAGACTGATAGAGATGTAGTAGATGATGACTGAAGGTGAAATGGCAACGTGATAAGTGGCAAAATTTTAGTGAGCAACGTTTGGATTCTTAATATGCCGCTCTATCCACAAAGCTAAGGGTCCCAGGTGATAACGACATTATTACTCCCCTATTGAATCTTGAAAATTTGTTTTAAACTATGAATTGCTCAAAATGACCTATTTTTTATTTCCCACCTTTTTTAATCCTTCATAGATTTTAATTCTACTAGACGCAAAGTACAAAAGAATAATAATACAGTGTCTCAATCTCAACAAGCCAATAAAATTCCACAAATCTTGACCAGAGCAAATCGGTTTTCTACAATGAATTTAACTGCATCACTATTTCGAGGTGCTTCAAAGGAAAGGCCTAAAAAGAGATTTACATAATAATAATAATAATTAACAATAACTGAATTCACTGAAATTTGTATTTTTACTGATTTTTAAAAAAATATCACTTCAAATTTCCACTTTCTCATTTATGGCAAGGAAAAGCCACTATTATCTATTTGTTTTGTTCTGTTTGTTTTTTTTTTTTGATTCCTCAGTGACAGTCTTTTTAAGAAGATGAAAACTGCAATAGAAGATGAAAATAAGCATTCTTTGAATAGACTGAAATTCTTTATTGAATAGCAATATTCAAAACAGAAAGCATGCAGTATGAAACCTAAGAATGTCATATGCCACTTCAGGAAAGACTACATGAAACCGATGAAAAAGAGAGAAGATGCGACATTGTACATGGCATATTTTACTTGGAAAAATGCTTGTGTTTTTGTATCATCAACAAAAAACAAAGCAAATCTCTGTGTGAATATTTCGATAAATTATTATTACTATTATACTTCTGTTTCTTTCAAAAGTGTATGAGAATAAAGAAGTTTATCACTCGGCGTATTATTACCCAAGATTTTAATGTGGACACTAATTATTTACTACAGTTTACTGTTTGCACACCAGAAGACATACAAAAACTATTGACTTGTAAAGCATTTACATTATTATCTCTAACAGGCATCTGAAAACTATTCTAGAATAATTATTCTGGAATCAGAGTTCAGTAATGAAATGCAGCATGCTAATCGACTGAAGACCGAATTCAGCGGTCCTCATTCAAATACTTTCCGACTCACTGGACCCACGTGAAAATAAGAGGACAGGACTTGTTAGTCCTGGTAGGGACAAACGGTATTTTAGACGATGCCTAATTTTATTAGTTTTATGAACTCTGACTAGCTGTCTTTCATTACATATGTCGGCGTTCTAAATTCTCTCTTAATTAGTGTAATATTGTTGAGTCACATCTAGGTTAGGTGGAGAGTGTTATATAGGAGGGCAGGTAAGTAGACGAAGTAATGAAGCTACGTCAAGTGAGATCATGAAGACGCGTCTTTCGCATGCTGAGCCACTACTTCCCTCGTTAAGTAATGTTGACTGACATAGGATCAGGTTGGAAAAGCGTTAGGAGTGGTCAAACCAAGGCTTGCATCAATCCATAATGTCGTTGACTTTTATCTTGAGCAGGCCATATAGAGAGATGTAGACTGCCTGGCTGGAGCTCACTCACTGGCGCATATACATTCACTTTTTGTAATCTCCCACGTTGACTAAGTTCTATCGTTCTTCCATGGAAATGTTCTTCCTCCTTCGCATTTCTTCTCACCGCGGTTTTTTTGGATTTTTCTGATTTTATCCAACTCTGTGTGCTATATGAGTTAAGATAACGTGAACTGATGCATTTATGTGTTAAGTTCTACTTTGAAAAACAGTTGGTCATCAGATCGGATACCAAAGATTGTCCCATCAGATTATGGAGATTTCTCTCTCCCTCTATTTGTCCCTTCAATTTAAGCTTGAAAAGGCAGTTTCTGTCAGATTTCACCAAAGATATTCTGACACTGATTAAAAATTAAATTCAAAGTGATTAACTGATAACTAATTATACTGTCACGTTGGCTAAGGATTTTGGATGGGTTTTAGGCATATTCTCACTCCCATTTCGCTGGTTAGCACGGACAAGTTCAGAGTTCCTTGAACATCCATACCTCACCAACTAAGTTATAAAAATATTATCTGCATAACTTTTATTCCTCATGAACAAATTTGTTTACTATTCATTGTGGTTACTTCTACCAAAATTGGGATCCCCGTTTGCTTCATTATCGTTTATTGCAAGCCATTTATCAGTCAGACAAGTTGCTAGAACACTCTAACTTGTGCAAGATTCAGCGTGAGTCAGGCAGAAACACCACAAATACTATTATTATAGTAGTCGTTTGTAGGGATTTGACAGATTCAAACCTCGGTGGGTGCGTGCTGATGAAGAGTCCCAAACTAGGACGAAATAGCTGTTTTCCAATGGTTCTGTAACCAATGTCAGCTCACGATGGAATCATGTAACTATTATTATAGACTGATGAAAATCAAAATGCACTGTGCTGTACTTGAAAAATGTTCTCTGGAAGTAAAATCATTCTATGACACATTAGAATCTTGTATTTCTTTCATTTAATTTAATTGAAGGAGTAACTTAACTGAGACAGTTTTTCGTCAAGTTCAGTAATATTATTCGAAATTTATGCGACTGTCTTATATCACCGATTTTAGTAAATTGTAATGACTTCAATGAGTTTATATAAGTATTCATTCTACGAGGACAGCGACTGTGTTTACATGAAAAGAAAAAAATGAAGGAAATAACTGTCTAGTAATGAATCAATAGCGAAATCTTTGATTGTTAAAGTTCTACAAAATGGAAAACTGTAATGTTAAGACGGAAAAAAGAAAGACAAGACTCATATCTATCAGATTTAACTGGGAAATGAAGTTGTTATAGCTGTAGCAGGTTAAGATGCAAAGGTTACTGAAGAAATGAAATCAAATAATCTGGTTGTGTATACGAATATTTGCTTATAGTTTTCTTATTCTCTACTGCTTTGCTTATGGTTAGCAATATAATGACCACTGTTTCAGAGTACTGCAGTGATCTATGGAGTGGTTGCAGCACAAATCTGTAGTGTACATTGTACCTTCGGACTTTTGTTTGAACGAACTCACCTGACCTTTTAAACCCACTTCTACTTTGTATTCCTGAACCTCCTGTACGGTTTCGGTTTCGCTCTCTCGCTGTGCTTTCACCTAGCACACTCTCCGAGCTTACACCGCCTCACCTGCAGATAAGTGTGTACTTCTTATTTCTTATCAAATTCTATATCTCTTTTGTGTATATACAATTCTGTTCCAGTCACACTTGCCATCTCAGGTCTTTTAACTTTGATTCCGTTCGTTAGTACTTGCACGTTAGGCAGAGTACGATTAAGGCCCTAAGCGGTGAAGAAGTTTTGTAAAAGTGGTTATTGTTAGGTCGAAGTTAACCCAAGTCTAACTCTTACAAATCTAACATTCTGTATTCACTAGACTGATTACCCTTAAGGTTGGAAAACCGCTATTGTTTCTATGACTAAACACACAAAAAAGCACTCATTGATGCATTGTAAGCCCTTAAGGACAAGTATCAACTTTGTGCTAGAATTCTATGGACATCTATCAGTGGCAGTTATGAAACCTACATACACGCACATGCAAAATGACTACAATTTATGTGTGAAATCAAAGCTAGAAGTGGATCAATATGTATGTTATAAACTGAGTACACATGAAATACATAAAACCACAGCATTCATGATGAGGAAGTAATCAGACTCATATTTATTAGTTTCTTTTAGTTTACGACCACGCTTTCTTTATAAATTAATTCTGATGATAATTCACTTTAATAAGAAAGTTCTTTAAGCGTTTTAAGGAAGGCTAACAATTGTGGCGATTTAAGGCAAAATATATGGACCACCCAGTCTTAATAACAATCTCTGAAACTCAGCTCTTCCTAACTAAGTATTCCACAAATGAAACTTATTGTATCGGACGATAAATGTGTTTTAAACATATTAAACTGACAAACTGTTTACACATTAAATAAATTCGCGCCTACAAATTTAAAATGAGCATATGAAATCACTTTAACCACGGGCTTTTTGTATAAACCATTTTAAACACTAGTTCTATAGGGTATGAGATTTTTCTTATCGGCAAAAAGAAAATGTAGTGAACAAGGGTTTGAGAAACCACTGCAGTGATAAATTAGACCAAAAATGTGTTCTTTGGCATAACAACCGCTTGTCGCTGATATAACAGATCTTGAAGTCATCTATATTTTCACTGGTTTGACCGACAAATGAAGACTCTTACTTTTTCAATTTGTCATTTAGTTCTCAAAGGTGAATCAGTTCGAGGAAACACATTCTCGTCACTGTCATTTCACAAAATTACTGGGCTGGATCGAGGTCATTGGTCACACAATGACTTCGAAGGAACATTTATCCTAACGCAGACACCTCAATCCCGTTTTAGACCAACTTGTTGCATTAAGCAGGAGGGTGGTGACCATTCCAAAGCACCCACTAGATTCATAACGACTTCTCACCCTTTCGGATCAGAATCTCCTTAATTCTGTACATTCTGTGCATGTATGTAAATTGCACAAGATTTCATGTAAGATTATCATGATCAAACAGACACGACTGCGAATATATTCGACAGAGATTTGAATCAGTTATTACTTTTGAAGCGAGAAGAGTTTGCCAAGAACTGAATCTGGCGACAAACCATTTAAGAAACTATTTCCAAACAGATATGCAGATTGAATAGATACCGACTGTGGAGACCATGAAGTAACATTATGCAGCGGGCATGCCCTTGAGTGGAGCCCAAATTGGAAATGGAGGGCTGGATGTGGAAATGACAATGACTTGCAGAAGGGGAAAGCATATGTTCAGTCGCGGAGCCAGCTGAAGGAAATTTCAGAGAACAGGAGGAAGTAGAGATGCATTGCTGAATCCCTGTGTTCCTTTTAGAACCCAAGGTAATAACAAGGCCTCGAGATTGGAGAATGATTCAGTGTCCGTTGCCGTTAAAATGCAATTCGTGTCCATCAAAAGCCTCAACTGTAGAGCACCAGCTTCACCTTTTACTTTTTTCATTTTGCGTTTTAGAAACCATTGCCCAGCCTTGTAACTCGGCTGTTTCAAAAGTTTTAGATGTCACTACACAAGTCGCTGCCAGCGCGCATAAAACCACTCAAATGCACGATCCTCTCCCATAGCAGCTGGTGTCATCTATGATAGCCTCTTCGGAGTCCCAAAACCAAGAGATAACAGTATCGGGGAGTTAGCTCGACAGCAAGCTGCTATAAATTGCGACATCACTGGAGTAGAGACGCATATGTGAAAACCCAGACGACCCGCCTCATAGCACTCACACCTCTCATCCCTAGGAAGCCTGTCAACATTGTTCTTTTAAGTTTGGTGCGGATGTGCTGTCCCGGACCAGCATAAACACAGAGCAAACGAACTGAAGAATCCGTACAGCACTCATACTAACAAGTCTCCCAGAATAATATATCAGTCATGGATGGGACTCATATTGGTGGGAGAAAGTGAGAAAGAAACAACTTGAAACACTTTCGGATGACTGCAGTGGACTGCAAGGTACTGTATTCCGATTTTTTATTTATTCTTCACGTCGGTAGATTACCCAGGCGTAGCAAATATCTGGAGGCTGTCTATTCAGACAATCTAAAATTTTTGGGACAAATGAAGGAAAAAGTGACATACTGACATTAAAACAGATCCCAGAACTAAGTTAAACTGGCCTGAAGAATATATTCTTCCAATAAACTTATTAAATGGAGCTACTATATTCCTCAGGCGCATATATTTTGGTTCACATCTCAGACCACCACATTTACCTAGATGTCACAGTAAGCTCCGACTCAAAAGCGACACTGATTTATAGCCAGTGGTTTTAGACGCTCAAGGATATTAAGAAGGAACTTTGATTAAAAAATCAGTAGTATGCTTACCACTTTATGAAGATTTTTCACGAGGTGAAATTTAGAAAACATAGTCCAAATAACAACTAGCCAACTAAAACTTGATTCATGAATTCTGGAACTGGTTGGAAGTGTCCACACGTATGATTACCGGCATGACTATTTTAACATAAGCGGAAAGAATCGTTAGTACTTCTCATACCACTGGCATACAGAAGATATAATCACAATGATCTAAAGAAATTACTATGTTGTATCTTATCTCTTCACTTCTGTCAGATCTCACTAATTCAGAGATCATAACATTAGGGTTCGAAGCAAATGACTTACTACGTCTCTCTAAAGTTATGTTTCTAAAACCTAGTCACTAAGTTTGCCATCAATCAATTTATTAAGAAAGAAGTAGATAACTGCGCTTCACAGTAAAGCACTAATAAACTCTGAAGATCTACTTTCTGCTGTGAGATATTTGAACAAGTTTGGAGAGATATCAACTTGTAGTTTATCAGCAACATATTTTCTATGTACATCCAAATGAACTGTACATACAAAAAAGGTGACTTGGTGATAATATGTATCGCAATGCCCTACAAAGTGCAGTTTTTAGTCATCGACATACCCAATCCGACTCCAGTGGCATACTCATAAATTCTTTCGATTCCTCAATGTTCTTGATATAAGAATAAAACTTGGGCACTGTGGTAGAGTGTAATTCCATTATGGGTAAATTTTATTTTGATAGAGTCTCACAGTGTTATACAGTAATATTTACTGTATAACACTGTGAGACTCTATCAAAATAAAATTTACCCATAATGGAATCCTCAATGTTCTCTTTACACCAAATGTTGTGGTATTCCAGTACTCACAATTTAGGACTGGAAGGCAAATACGAAGTTATTACCCTAAAAGTAAAGTGCCTTGAGTTGCACAACCATGAAGCAGCATTTTTAACTAAACAATCAGAAAAAAAGAAACTAAAATACAATCACAGATAATGAGGCAGTTATAATGCCAAGTAACTAGTCAAGTCAACAAAAGAAAAACTAACCAGATATATATCGGAGAAGTATTGATCTGTCTTTCTTATGCTGAAATAAACAGAAGTAATATACGAAATAATCTTTCAAATACGCGAGATTGTAGCGAGCTTGTGAAAAGCGGCACTTCAAACTAGACATTTTACGCGGAAAATTCGATATTTTCGGTAGGTCAGTTACGTTGTCGTAGAATTCCACGAATCTCCATCGTAAAATTGTTTGAAAAGCCTGACTTTAGCTTAAAGATGTATTTTTTCAATGGCTTTAAACTGAATTATGTAATCTGTTTATCTCACAACCCAAGCTGGCGAAGTTAAAGTGCCAGAGTCGTCTCTCAAAAGTTGACCTTCAAGAACTGATCAGATAAAGAGAAATTGCTATGAAAAATCACTCCAAACAAAGTCATATCTGTTTTTCTGAACTTGGAGAGGGTGGATACAGTGTTCTATGTATTTACTAGGTACTTTTTCTTTTAATCTGTAGTGCTAGGTAGGGCTACAGCTTTTTGATTAAGGTTTTGATTCTAGGGTTAATGCTAGAAATGACTCTAAACTATAGCAACCTATAAAAAACTACCTAACGAGCTGACAAGTGAACTTTATGAATTTGTGATCAGAAATGGGTCCAATGTGTTTCTGAGGACTCCTGTGAGAGATTCCAATATCCTGATTACGAGCCAGTATAAACCAGTGATTTCTCTGAGCTCGCTTCTTGATTGTAAGGTAGAGGTTCCAGATCTTCGGTGAACTTATGCCACGCGACTGCTTTAGCTCTGGTAGACTCCAAGATGAGTGGTGCGGGGATTGGTCAAAATGTGGTTTGTAGTGTGCAGTATGTTAGGACTGAGTTGCTGCCGTGAATAGAGTTTGACCTGTAACTTTCGAGGTTTTATTGGAACATATACAAGAATATTAACCTATGTGGCTATTTTTAACTCTGTACTGCTAGTATATAGGTGTTTATTTCGAATTACTCATTTCTATATCTGAAGCATCTGCTTGGTCTCTAGGTCTTCACTAGGTAGTTTCATTATAGGCTGCTATAATTTAGAGTCAATAGGTTAGGTTTTATGTTCAGAAGTTTGGACTACGGTTAGAGTAAGAGTAGGTTAAAGACTAGTGTCAGAAATATCAGTGAATCTTAAAGTACCATAACCTACAGTCACCTGGATAAATGGATATGTCGCGCATGGTACGATTTCTCTATAGATCATCTGTGTAGTGACCGGCAGATATTCTTAAAACACGGTCTACAATTCTACAATGTAAAATTGTGTTTGCAATATTTTATAGTGTATTTTTCAACAAATATGCTAATATTTTGCGTCTGAAATCAGACTGGTTGTTCAAGGTTACTGTGGTTTTCGTTGTGATAGTTTAACCTTGCCCAAACGTGATATTACACTGCATAGTTGTCACTTATGTGTTTTAAGAATGTCTTCCAATCACAACAGATGATCTATAGAGAAGTCATACTATGCGCGATGTATGCACTCATCCAGGTGACTGTAGCTAATGGTACTTTGAAATCCATTGATAAATTTTTAAAACTAATCTGATACTATTCTTTCACCTACTTCTAACTCTAACAATTATTCTAACTTTAGCCCTAAACTTAACCTTAAGCCTAAACTTTAATCTTAAGAGGCCTAACATTATGGATTTACAAGAAAGTACCTAGTAAATATGTAGAATACTGTATTCACCCTCTCAAAAGTAAAAAAAACAGGCATGACTTTGTTTGGAGTGATTTTTCATAGCATTCTCTTTATCTGATTAGTTCTTGAAGATCAACTTCTGGAAGACTTTTGCTATGATACTTCGTCCGCCTTCTATAGAGTTAGTATGAGATCAGAATCACATAAGACGCGAAGCCCTGCTTTAAGGTCTTCAAATAGCATGTAGTGAAGTGCTCTACGCATTTCACTATTGGGAAAAAATCCAGGGAAGATAAACCGTTGTATACGAAGGATTGATGAATTATTGGGAAACTTATGCGTGAATACACCGAAATATGTCGTAATGTCCACAGTAGATGGAACCATAATTCAGAGGGGAAAATAGTTGACAATTAGATGTACTTCTTATGTCATTTAGGCTTTATCTCACAGATAAAAACGTGTCCAGTTTTCTCATTTATGGAAGACATAGCGATTTCACGGTATTTATTAGCTGTAGCCATCGTCTTCTAAAGAAGTCTTCTGTAACTGTGCACTTGGCATCATTGGAAACATCTGGAATTTGCGAAGTGTTTGGCTTGACTATCTACAAGTTATCTTAGATATTTATTCGTGAATCTCTTATTTACCAGATCTTATTCCGCTGTGGCTGAAGATGTTGTCTAGGAGACTGAAAGCCAAGACTTAAATCATCTGAGTTAAAGAATACACCATCATGAAAAACCACTGTAACTACAAATATTCTTAATTACATTAAAGCTGTTTCAAAGTGAATTCATTAGTTAACGGAGATATGGCTCAATTCTCTAATTCAGAAGAAATTTAAGAACTTAACACTTTTTAATTCTTTGAAATTGCTATAAGGTATTCAAAAACTTTGAAAATGTATAGGCAGATAATTCACTTTTTCCATCGATGAAACTGATGATTTATTATTCACTTTAGATCAACAAATGCCAGTTTCTTTTTGGGTTTTAAGCTGTTCAAAATGCTTCTTATTTCAAGTTCATCAGTCTAAAAAGTCAAAAAATTGGGTTTGCAAAGTTTGTTCGTGCAAACAATCGTTTTTAAAAGTGAGTTACACTTGTTTCCAATAAGACCACAATTTTGCTTTGATATCATCCACGAAAAAAGATGTTTTTCGGAAAGTGAGTGACTAACATATGAACATAAGACTCAAAATGGATGTTATTACAGTTCAGATAAGACCACTCTGAAAAGGAAAAGGCTAAAAAATCGAGTAAGAATTGAATGCGACTTAACAAAAACACTTATATAAGTGAATGAACACCAGGCGTTTTCATCAAAAAGCTAGGCACCTAAAGGTTTCAAAGTTACCTGACATGTACATCTAGTTAATCGAAGACATGTACATAAACTGATGCAATGATGGATTCTTCGTACTTGACTAACTACTTGAGCATTAACTATCTTCTATTCACCTCTCCCATTCCCAACTTAGTAGTGGAATAGTCTATCTGCCCCCACGGTTGTCCTGATGACAGCAGTCATCAGGTGAAATAACGCCTCATCTTATGCATGAAATTACTTCTTCCCAGAAGCAAATAACTATCCTAAAAAAATTGTCATAATTCAGTACCATGATCTTATTGTCAGTTGGGATTTCGCAAATATCTTCAGTTTAACTTCCTCTCTCTCTCAGATAAAAAATAATCAATTAGTGCTATGTTGTGGTTTCATGGATCTCAATTTCTACTTTAGCCAACACTTATTGTCAGCGAAGTTGACGGCGCATTATTTGTAGATTGCATCCCAGTTGTTAACGATTCATATCCATATAGGCTTATTTACCTGTTTCTTAACAATCAGTGCGTCTAGCCACCGCAATAGTGTGAGTCGTGGAACAAGGACGTAATCACTTAATATCTTTTATTTTCAATCGTTATTTTCCAATCGAGAAGTGAGCCACAGAAAACTACTATTCACCACACATCATTCAATCGGTAGACAAATATCTCGTGCTTACCGAAGATGACTGCATTAAAGATGACAAGCAGGAATTTCTTGCCTAATTGGTTTTCTTCAACAACCAGGTCTTTGGGGAGACGCAACTTCCAAAATAGGAGTTGTTGACTTATTCAGTGACTTCCCCATTCTTAAACTAATGCAGAATCACTCTACACCACCATTATTCATTTAACTAAATGGGTCTCGAATCCCCCACTTGGGTGTTTGCCTACAGTTAACAAGACCATATCACCTTTTATCATTTAAAATGGTAATTCTAAAAACTCTATAAAGCCGAAACTGGCAAAGTCTGGCAACTTAAAGTGGATGCATTTCGGTGCAAAGTCCTGACTTCAGACCACAAACCTTATGACAGTTTTTCATTGAATATAAGACTTTCAGACATTAAAAATCGCTGAACACTGTTTACTTTAAGAATTTAAAGTCTGTAATCATACTCAGTTTTGTTCTGATTAAAACAGCTTATTTTTAAATTATTTTATAATTACAACTAGTACCTTAGTTCATGTTTACTGCTCTTGCGATTGTTACCCAGTACAACAGCTTAATTCCTGTACAACTCTGCTAACACTCACACACAATAGATTCCAAGTGATTTCAGTACAAGTGGAGAAATGTTATCATTCCAACAAAATTGTGTACTGTCATAATAGTATGAAGCATTTGTCGTACATATCACTGATAGGTTGATTATTATATGAATAACCCGTCATGTGATAGTGTGACAAGGTCATATGTTTAAAATGCTTAAAGCACTTTTGATGTATAATTCACGATGAATTTGTTGTGGTGTTAGATTATTGTATAGCCATGTTATAAATTGCTGTCATTAGTTTATTTATATTATATTCAAGTCAGAGGTTATAGCCAATTATCACGATCTAATGTTAGCAGAATATGCACTGGAGTGACGAAAGCTTTAACAGATTTACATTGTTAAACACATTTTGAAGAGTTTGATAACACATGTATTCATGTATTTCCTTGCTTCTATTACCTGTTCAGTTGATATTAATCACTGACAGCAGTTGTTCATTTATCTTGGTCGTTTAGGTATTCGCTGAAGGAAGTGCAAAAGAATGTCGTGAAATTGTACAGAAATTAAACAAACAAGGTGTTCAACGTCAGATGGAGCTGCCTGGATTTGGAAAGCCAGTTCTACTAAGATTCAATCCAAACAAATATTTACATTGTGAAACTACAGTTAAAGAGGACTTAGTATTCGAAGATAATGATTCTGCAAGTCAAGAAAATGAGGATATAGATACTGAGGTGATTTCATACAAATTACATCCTTATTCAAACTCATCTGATTCTCGAGCTGAAAAATCTACAGGCACTGGAGAAAATTTCTCACGTCTGGTAAATACTTATATGCTGATTTATAGTTACAACCTTTAACTGTGTAAATTGTTTGACTGGATCTTATGTACACTGAGCAGGTATAACTGAATTGCCTTGCAGAAAAAGTTTCATGCTATTTCATGCAGTCACTTAGGTAACTAAGTGCGTCTATTGTTCAGTGATAGAATACTCGATTGCTTCCCGGCTGCTGTACTCCTAAACCTATCTTACTAGGTAAAGAGGCTAGCAACCCCACTGTGTAAAAACGTCAGACACTACTAATTCCTCAGAGCTCAAGCTCAAATCTCTACATCCCACTTGAAACGTGAAGGAATTAACTAGGGAAGCTAAATTGTTTCCACAAAACCCTGTTTGTAGATCAATGACATTTCACATTTCTTGTTATGTAGCCGCTAACCACTTCTTTATTTCTTGGAATTCTTTTAGTTTTTCTGATTAAATATACATAGTCTAATTCTCTGTTATATCCCAGGTAGTGTTTAATTGAAAAAGCTATTGGTTGTCACCTGAATTACATGTTTATGCATTCAGCAGGCTATTTGTACAAGATAATTGCCCCCTTCAGCTTTTCGGTCGTAGTCATTGCCCAATATAAGTAACGCACATGTCACTCAGAATTATATCAGGTAATTGATTTAGTTACCAGTATCTTTGGTTAAATTGTGAAAGCCGTAAGACCAACCGCTGGCATATTTCCTTTTTGATGTAAAAAGTCTAGGGCCGTTTTTGTATTTTCCCTGATATATATAATGAACGCAGATTGCTGGATGACTGCAGTAGTGTAAAGCAATGAAACAACACTTTTTGTTCATAAGTGAGGGTTTTAATTCTTTTTTAGTGGGAATTTTCAAGTGGTTAGCACCATTAAATTTTTACTGTAAAGACTCGTCTTTATGCTGTTGCTTGTCATTCTTGATGTAAAGGTCAGCAGTACTTAAGTGTCTGCGTTCTATCTTTCATCGTAGATACTACAATATTATCAGTAATAATGTTAGGTGTAGCGTGTTAAGTAGCGAGGGAAGATCAGTAGATGAGGTTGCAAAGTGATATCGATTGAGACGACTGAAGCATCAGTTACGCATGCCAAGTCATCAACTTACCAGATGAGCAATACTGACTGACATATTGACAGACTGAAAAAGAGTTAGGGGTGGTTAGATGGAATTAATATTATTATTATTATTCCTTTGGGTTCCGAGTAGTACATAGAGCTCCAGTAACATATTTCCTTATTATTCTTTTCTCCGAAGTCCTTTCTGGCTGGCTCCACTATTACCCTTAAGCTTTCTTCTCTTCCTCACACAATCTCCATGTTGTCATCGGACGCTCGATATGCCGTTTCCTGTTAATTCAGCTTTCACTAGAGGGTCTGACGTGCGATGTCATTCAACATTCTCTTCAGTATATATCTAGAACATCTCCACTTTCTTCTGTGTATTGGTTGGGTGATAGTCTCTTGGTTGCTTCTTTGACTGTTTATCCTTTCTGACCAACCATCTGATCTTCAGTATCCGGCGAATGTAGCTGTTGATCAGAGTCTGTAGGCTGTTGAAAATGCTTTTCATGACGCGTGTTTCAAGTCTCCCAACCATATAGAAACATGTTAGTGTAGAAGATCTGGATATTGTTCCGTATACTGAGGAGGGCAGTAAATTTCCACATTGATTCCAGAGTAATGAAGGCCTATCTTGTTTTCCCGGTCCTGCCTTTGACTTCCCTATATATGTCGCATGTATTTGATTTATTCTTGTAAACATATAAGAAGATCATATAATTTACTGTTATCTCTATTTTAAATTTAGAATTTCGATGATGCATATCTCGAAGAAGGTACTTCTTCATTGTCCAATAATTCTTCTACAAATCCATCGCAAAGTACCGGTTCAAAATGGGATGTTTATTTGTGATAATAATGCTGTTAAATTCAAAAAGTGACATGCTGCATTTATTGTTTTTGTAATTACTTCAATGCAAACTTATTTCGTGTGATTCCTTCCTAATAAGATATTTAAGCACCAATATATATTCAAAAAATTATAAATACATTAAAATTTGTAAATTAGTCTCAATATTTATGTGGGTAGTTATAGATTAGAATGAGTCTAGTAATAATGCTCCTAAAAGTAACCGTTTTGATTGAAATACTTGAAACTTCTGAAAATTTCACTCAAAAACCACTCGCATTTCTATTCAATTCATAAGTTGATCATGTCTTTTTTGTGTGAGGGCTAATACAACTACCTGATTGCTGCAACTATGATAGGTACAACGGGATTTGTAATATTTGAAATTTGAGCGCCTAAACTATTTTAATATTTCTCCATAGAAATTCAAAATGAGCTTACGAACATTTAGAAGTCATCGACAGGATATCTGTACAACCAGATAATCATTCATAGGTAAATTTGTGAACCATGAATTTAAATTAAGCTGAGTTATTGAGTTCTGGCAGCTGCTTTCCTTTCATTGGTCAGGTTAAGTATGGCATTGCTGCGTCTAACTGATATTGGGAAGGCCGAAAGATAAGATTACAGTGTGAATTTTAAGAAAGTTGTTTGTAAGTGTTTATAAAAAAAATTCCCCAATGGAACAACCAATATTTTATATTTTCTTATGCGAATGCAAATGTCAATCAGTAACTTTCGTTGTTCAGAGTAATATTTGTCGCTTGAGTGATAATGAACAATTACCTGTCAGTTGATTGACCAAGTTAATTTCACCCGCGAAACTACTGACACACTACCCTTTAGTTTTGACTTTCGCTTATCAAAAAAACTGGAAAGTCACCTACCCTATATCATATTACATTTACTAAAGTAAGATTGTTATTTAGACTCATAATCACAATAAGTATCATCTGTTGCTAAACAAAGCTACTGGAATAATCCTTCTGCGCGAAGATGTTGAAAAAATCCAGTCTACTGAACACCTTGTGCCTGTTATTCTTCCTTATCAAATATAAGACAATGCTACAAAAGTAGTATAAAACAATTCTAAGTATAATTACAGGTAGTGGAATTATTGAGCGTATTTATCACCAAACTTATTTAGGAAGTCGTATCAGCCATAATGGACTGATTGCTCATCGAGTCCCCCATCACTTTTGGCACAGGTGTGATATTCGGATTTTGACCAAAGGATGTATGTGCTGCGCAGCAGTTGTTTACAGCTGTGAGACCTGACTGTCTAAAGGGGAAGATTTAAGGAAGCCTCATGTTTTCACAAACTTTTACAAACAGAATCCGAGTCGATAACAACTTTACTATGATTAATGTTCGGCTTCTACTTATATGCGGTCTAAAGCTCTTCAGTCATACATGCACACGTGTTAGGTTCAATGAAGAAGTTATTATATGCATGGTTCGATAGTATACAGAATAATTCTGATTCCATTGAAAGTAATCATTAATGCAAAATTTAAGCTTTAGTGAAGATGATAATCATAAATTCAACTCTGGTATGTGAAATCGAAGAAGAAAGGAATGGTAACGAAAACTAGAATACAAAGCTTGAATTAAATGCATTATTATTTCATACCTTGATATAAGAATCGGAAAAGTAGGACAGGTCTTCATTATAGGTTTCCAGGCCGTAGGTGTTACGAACTTCCTGGAATAATTTGAGCGCCGAGTCAGATTGATTCATTATAAATTATTTAAATTAATCCCAGCGTGTTAAGAAAATCAAAACAAGATTTTTCTGAACGTTTCGCTGTGTAAGCCACAGCTTCTTCAGCAGATTTATTCGGATTTTTATTAATCATCAAGATATATAGTCAAAAATTTACATACATTAAAGTCAGTTTATTTGAACTAACATGGTTAACAATAATAAAATAAAGTTCATAACAATTACTCAGTTAAATAAAAACAAAAGTACATACTAATGACCAATCATATTCAGATAGGTCAAGTAGTCCAGGGTAGGCGAAGATTGAAGTCTATTGATTTTTGTACACACAGTTTAGGCTGTATGTGATTAATCTGTGGACTCTACTTCAAACTGTATCTACAAGTTCACCTGCAGCTGCGGTGACACCTATATAGGTAGAACCAACAGAATGTTCCAATGTCGTCGGAAAGAACATGTTCCAAAATGGCTACTAAATCACATAGAAAATCCCAATGCCAGTAATCTGAATAGAAATCCAGCATCCTCCATTGCAAAACACTTATTAATGTCAGGTCACAAAATCAATATTAATGACTGTTTTACAATTATTTCACATAACTCTAATTCAAGGTTATTGAAGGTGATGGAAGCACTTTGGATTAATCACATACAGCCTAAACTGTGTGTACAAAAAACAATAGACTTCAATCTTCGCCTACCATAGACAACATCACCTATCTAAATATGACTGGTCATTAGTATGTACTTTTGTGTTTTATTTAACTGAGTAATTGTCATGATCTTTATTTTATTGTTGTTAACCATGTTAGTTGTAAAGCGGTTGTAAAGAAACTACGAAATGAAATCACCTCGCGAAATTTATCTTCTTAATGCCTTATTCAAATTGTATAGATTAGTTTTGTATGAGTGTGTGTGTGTGTGTATACATGTTATTTGTCATATGGAAAATATGTGAATTCATATATGATAAACATGATCCTATATGTTTTAAAAGGTCATGGAGGCTCATAGAGTGCTGATTGATTTTTTCATTTGTCTTGCTTCATAAGAGTTTGCCATATAGGCGATAAGTCTATCCCATCTTTCCTATTCACTGCATTCGAAGTGGTTAAGATGTGCAAAGCTTCAGAAGTCAATCTTTCTTTATGTGAATGAAATCCTCAAATCCTTCAAATAAACTGACTTTAATGTATGTAAATTTTTGACTATATATCTTGATGATTAATAAAAATCCGAATAAATCTGCTGAAGAAGCTGTGGCTTACACAGAGAAACGTTCAGAAAAATCTTGTTTTGATTTTCTTAACACGCTGGGATTAATTTAAATAATTTATAACAGATCTTCATTAGTCTGAAATAATTCTGGGGATCTACCGTGCTCGGTATAAGGAACATGATCGAGATTTTCAACACTAGTGTCAAGTCAGTGATTATCTGATTCAGAAACTCGGCTCATGCATCACGAAAAGTATTTCCAACTGCTCTGTTCTTTTGACAGTGAAGATCAGATGACTGGTCGGAAAGCATGAGCAAAAAAGTACCGTGGGGACGAACCAAACAAGAACGTATAACCCGACAAATATGACGAAGGAAATGAAGATAGATAAGACACAGGGTACGGACATCGTTGAATCTCATGATAAGCCAAGCTGTCGAATAGAATTCGAAGGGGTAGAGATGGGTTGGGCGTCCGACGGTAACATGAAGAAGGTTGCATGAGGTGGAGATGAAAGCTTATGTGCAATCGTTAGGCTGACTAAAAAGAACTACCGATAACTGGGTGAAATGAAAATGTACTACTGAGGCCATATGTTCCTCTCGGAACCCTACATAAACAATAATAATACATAAAATTTTATTCTAAACGCAAATGCTTATTTCTGATGTTAAGAAATAACCAGAAGAAGATGGACGTGTACAGACTCAAAAGATTCAAAGTTAAAGGAGTGTAACGAAATATATTTCAGTTAAATCAGACGACCAACAAAAATAGTTAACCATGCAGGCCACAGATAAAATCTACCCAAATAATTACGAATTCGCAATTCTGCGCTAATTAAAATGTAGGCGAACATAATTTGATAAATATTTCACGCGGATGCACTACAACATGTTTCAGCACACTAGTCTCTACGTCTAACCATTTTAAATTGTCTTTCTATTTATTGACGATTACTATAGTCGGGTCAATCAATAAATAAATATAAGTCTATTTTTAGACGTTAACTGTTCGATCTAATATTATTGATCAGTAGTATACATTTATGGTTTGAAATAGTGCTTGAAGATAGCAGTCATTTGTGTATACGTAAATGTCCACAGTATTTGTGGTTGATTAAAAGTGTTTTTTGAACAAGTAATCAGAGTGTGGGTAGAAAAGTGTTTGAAATAAGTCCCACAAAAACATTCTCTTTTATATGAGGTGGACTTTGTAGAAATTTGTGACTTGTATCAGTGAGGTAGTTGTGCTATTTGGGTATAATGTTTGGTTTATAAATACCCACATCCATTTTGATTAACAAGCGTAAGTGAATGCTTTCGAAATATTTCTCTCGGTTACGTCACACCTTTCTTCAAGTTGTTAATCAAGACCCATGAACTGTGAAGACTTATATATCTCCGTTAATTATGTCGACAGCATGAGAGTAACTTTCCATTACATTTGAATTCTAGATACTAAGACGTCTATTTCTTTCTATCCGTTAATCTAGCAGTAGGCATTAATTTTTCACTGAAAACATATCACTAATTGAACAGAATTCTTGTTTTAAGTTTGTATTAGACGGTTACATTGCTTGACGACGATAAGCAGTGTATGTAACCAATTAGTAGAGGCATGCAAAAATCTTGTGTATCCACCATTGATTTCTGTTAAACGAGCTACGAGGGCTTACAGTAATGTAGTTGTGGAGAGTATTTTCAGTGCTGTATTCAGATGATAACTGTTTGGTTGACTCTATGCATTACTGCCTTTCACTACTCCCATGTTCTTATCCTATCTGACGTTTGGTGGGCTCTCTTTCCATCTCACCTTGTTCAGTACATGACCACTTGTTGTTGGTCTAGGATTTCATGTTCTTGTTGTGTTTTTCTTAATAACACTCTCTATAATACTTTTGCTAACCTTTATCTATTCTTCTCATTTTCTTTTTCATCTAACTGTTTCTGTACACTTTTTTCCATGTCTTTCATTAGATCACTCACTTTCGATTATTATTATTATTTCCTTTTATTCCTAGAGGAACATAGGGCTTCAGCCGTGCGTCTCCATTGCGTTCGGTTATCTGCTGGAGTCTTCACCTGGCTCCAAGTCTGCCCACACGTTTTCATTTCTTCTTCACATGACCTTCTCCAAGTCACCCTTGCACTGACGACCAACTCGCC